GTGAACCGTGTCCAGACCTTTGACGGGTCGGAAAAGGAGGGATAGCCTGACCATGCCTCTTCCAACTCCTCCGCCGATCGAGAACCATTGCGTGACTTGAGAGCTTCCGGACTCTTTGAACAGCTCGCAGAGCTTGATCGGCACGACTCCAAGGATCGGATCCTTTTCCCTATTCCGCTTATCCCTGAGCTCGACCATGATGAGGCATCGTCTCCAATCCCTCACCCAGCGCTCCGTTCCAGCCTGGAAGAAGGGATTCGCAGAGAGCAACTTTGTTCTGCTCCTAAAGACGACCTGATCGTTCAGAATGATGCTGAAATAAGCGCTAGGGGAGCTCGCATCGTCTTGCTCGTCGACCCAGTCTTCTGCTTTTTGAGCAGGTTCAAGACTCGTGCGATGTCCAAGTTGTAGCTGCGCTTTCGTGCGCGTGTCGACCAGCTCGAGCCCAGAGGCTTGATGAACTTGTACAGAGAGGATGCCCGCGGGCAGATTGGGATCCGGCGGCTGGAAGCGCACACCTTCTTCGCCCCTCTTGGGCTCGGTGCCTTCTGGGCGGGACAGCTCAGTAGGTCGAGAGTCGCGCTCCTCACTGGCCTGTACGGCACCTTCGATTTGACCTGGTGCGCTCTGCAAGCGCCTCGTCTCTTTGCCCCGCATTTTGTTGCTCTCCTCTGCCTGACTCTCGCGCTTCTCGACTGCTTCGTCGACCGCTCCGCGTCTCACGCGATTGTCTGCCTTTTTGAAGAATCCAACAGACCACTCGACGGTGCCCTGTTTGGACATTTGATGCGTGAGGCCCATCAGCGTGTCCTTCCTTCTGAACAATTTGCCGGGATTCTCGACGAGTTGCTTCGTATCCACTTCGACCCTTCCCAAAAGATCATCCGCAGTGAGCCTATCAGAGTCCCACAGGTTGATCTGAATCTTTTCCTTGGCGCGAAGGATTTCGGAATGCAAGAGGAACACGCACCGCTCTTCCCAGACCGGGGAGAGGTCGTCCAAAGCTACGCGCGTACAGTAGATGACTTTCTGCAACCTGGACCAGCAGATGGTGCAGTAAGGATCCGAAGAACCATTTCTATCCTGCTTTTCCAAATCGAAAGCTCGATGGAAATAGACGACGATGACGCCTAGCGCGTCCACCTCCCTCTTGATCTGATCGCCCGCCAGCATCTTTCCGACGTCCATCGTCATTGAGCTTGGAGCTACGTATTCGCCGACAGCAGCGTCGATGGAGGTTTGTATGAAGCCGCTGAGGACAGGAACGTTGGACAGATTGAAGCTCAGAGGGCTGACATCCACGGAGCACCTCGGCAATCCTTTGAAGCAGAAGGTCACATTGCCGACGAAAGGTGGGTCGGGCAGGAGTTGAACGCGAACCCTGACTGTCGCCACGAAGCCGACGATCTCGACGTAGACCGGCAGCGGCAATTGCAGCCACTTTTTCACTCCGATGAAGAAGTGAATGAGAAGGTGCGCATTCTTGTTTCGAGATGCGAGAGAGTTGGGATGCGAGGGCAAAGCTCTGTAGATCAGAGACATTTCCAGATTGACGTAGGAGCCGATTGGAGACTCTTCGGGTCTTGCAGTGGGTGCACCTTTGCTTCTTTGCTCCTCCTCCTCCACCTGCCCCGCGCCACCACCAGTCTTTTCGTTGATCATGCTGTCGGACTCTGCATCCTTCAAGATCCTGACGGCAGTGATCCGGATCGGATTGTCTCCTTGCGCGCATTCTTCCACCTTGACCCCATGAATAAAGCCGGGCACCGATGCGGCCATGATGTCCTCCAGGGTGCCGCCCATGCTGGCAAACATGGCAGGGTCTGCGGTGCTCCAGAAACCTCTGACGAGAGCGTTGAGCCACTCGACCGATTCCAGCGCGCCATCCTTGAGAGCGTGTGCGAGCGTCTGAGCGATTGGAAGGGCAGCCTGCTGGTGTGAGGCGCGCTCAGCCTCTCCGGCGTGCCCAAGCGCCCTCTGCCGCTCACGGGCCCAGCGCACATGTTCCGCTTCCCGCACCGACTGCTTGAAAGTGTACCACCCTAGCCAAGCATTGCTGGCCAGGATCAGCAGCAATAAGAGGGTGGATGTGGTGATCGATCGTTGATCTTTGCCCACGAACGACACTGCCAGAAGAAGAGAAGACCAAGCGGCCCACAGAGCAATGATGTTGCGAGAAAGATGAATCTCTGGACCGGGCGGGAAGGGCTTGGAGAGGACGCTCCTCCTCATTCTCCTCTCCGCTCTCGCCTTTCTCAGCTCCGCTCTCCTCTGCCTCGCCTCCGTGGAAGTTCCGGTCCATCTTTTCTGCTCCGCCAGACCATTCTGAGCCTGATGATCCGCCTCTTCATCCATATTGAGATCTTCCCTTCCAAGATTCAGATCACTCCCACCAGCTGCATCGGCCCCAGCGCCCTTGCTCCCATCAGCTTGCCTTGCAGCCTCGCTCTCGGCCAACTCTAGCGCATCTTCCCGCTTGATCTTGCGCGCAAACTCGACGCGACCCACATCTCGAATCTTCATTTCCCTTTGCGTGACGGGATCGATCACAGCGCGCGCACCCTTGGCTCGGCGTTGAGGCTGCGCCGGCGCTTTTTGCTCTTCCGAAGTCCGACTCGGTCCAGTCGAAGCCTTCGAATTGGCCTGCTCAGACTCGCCGCGCTGTTTGGATCTGCGGCCAAAGAAGGGCAAGGATGATAATCTCGCCGTGCCTTTGGCGCTGAGCGATCGACGCGATGATCCGCTTGCATCCTTCGAGCCATTCGCTTCGCTACGCTGCGTTGCCGACTGCGCCCGTCTGCCATGTTGCCCCTCTGAGACGCTCTCATCGTCTTCATCCTCCTCTTCGCTGCCGCTCGTGTCTAGTTCGCTCTGACCCAAATCAGTCTCTTCAGCTTGCAAGGCTTCCTTGCTCTCTCCTTCGGGCGCCGCTGCCCCTTCCGTCTCTCCTCTAGCACCCGAGAGGACCTCGGACCATGCCGAGTCAAAGTAGCGCTGTATGGTTGGTATAGGGTTCGTGGCGCTGTAGTAGTCGGACGCGTGATGCTGCGTTCCAGCGGAAGGAGGCGCTCTAGACGCGGACATTTCGTCAACAAGGGCGCGGGAGGGTAGTAGTGGCCAAGAGGAGTGGTGTGAGGGGGATCAGAATGCTACGAATTGTGCCGCTGTCAAGTCGAGCAATGAATGTAAGAGGCCAGCCAGTATGCGACTTGCGATTTTCATCGAAGCCGAACGCAGAGCTCTGCGCTCACCCCAACTTGTCCTTTGGATGCTTGCTCACGGACGGTGTATTGTGTTTGTAGTCACATCGGTGGTGCTCGAAGAGAGGAGGGTGAGGGTGAGAGTGACGAGCGGATGGGGATGGGGATGTGTGGAGATGAAGGGCGGAGTAGATGCAAAGTTGGGCGTCTGTGCTTGCTTGATGACAGCAATCACGAATGCACGCCGTATCGGTACATTGCATCAGCGTGCACTCGCGACCTGCACTCGTGACTGTGACCCTGACTGTCCTTACACCACCTCATCCCACAGCCGCGCCTGCATGGCTGTGATCGAGAGTCGAGCATCATAGAGGACACGTTTTGACCATGACAAGCACTTCTCTGCCGCACGCGCCGAGCAGCTCGATCAAGAACGAACCTCGGCCGGCATTCACCGTGTGATTTCACATTCACATTCACCATCGCTGATTCGTGATTATCGACGCACTCAAGGGACTTGGACTTTGCGTTTCGGTTTGTTGCATGTCTTGCGCGTCATGTTCATATAGGGTACAGTGTGAGTACTGTACCTGCTGGTCTGGCGGCACGTCCACCCGGTACGCTACTGTATGAGCTGCTGCTGCATGAGCATGCATGCTGCTCGCTGCACGCATGCGTCAAAAGCCACCTCCACATCGACGACGTGCGAAATGCGCTCGCCGATGCTGCATGGGCTTCCAAGGGCTATACCGGTACTTACCGCGTGTACTCGTGACTCTTGGGGGTCTTGGCGTACGCTTCACTCACCACTTGGGCCGAAGAAGCTTCAAATGGTGAATGGCATGCATGCGTGGGCGACGATGACAACCCCGCGCAGTTCGCATCCATCGTCTTGCTTCTCAAGAAGCGGGAGGGGAGGAGCAAGCAGCCAGCAGCCAGCAGCCAGCATTCACAGAAACCCACAAGCATCCACCTCCCCTCCGTGGGATGAGCCAAGTGAAGCTCGATCGAGCAGCCAGCTGAGCCATCATCGGAAGTGATTCGCAGTCAGGCCCCCGCCGACAAGCAATCCGAGTATTTGCGGATATAATTAAAAGACGTGCAGCAATCGTGAATGCTTTCATGCGAAGAAGCGGCGTCGAAGGGAAACACAAACGAATACAGTGCAGTGCAGTGCGGTACGAGCAGCACGACCCAGCAGCGAAAAAGAAAATGAGGATGCATCAATAATGTGTGTGGAAAAAAGTTTGGACCTTCGGCTCTGAAGGACGTGCAGCTCTCAAAGCGCTAGAGAGGGGGGGAGGGGGGGCGAGAAGATACAGATAGATCACTTGCCAGGATGATTGACGACGGTCGAGTTGATGTTGGTAGAGTCGGCTCCGGAGGTGCCCAGTTGCGAAAAGTCGCAGTTGAAGCTGGTCTTGAACAGCGGAGCGATGACCTGTTCGATGAGCTCCGCTACAGCATGGACGATCTCCCCTTCCAGTTGTCCAGTACCGACGTCTTGGATCGTAGTGAGGAGGAAGCAGGCAGCGCTGGGAACTTCGGTAGGCAAGTCGACCTTGAAAGGCGAAAAGTTGCCTACCCCTTGGTTTTGTCCCGGAGGAGTGAATGTGGAAGTGTCTGCGACGTAGTCCACGACGTCGCCGGCAAGGTTGAGCAGAGAATAGGGAGTGCCACGCTTGATCCAGTCGGCGGGGAACGTCTCGTTGAGGAAGAAAGGTGCAACGTTGCGGTAGTTGGCGATGCCCTTGTCGGACTGATTCTCACCGAAGGATGGCAAAGCCTGTTGGATGAAGGCTCTCTCAGCAATGGAGACCGCAATGTACTTGACACCTGCGTAGAATTCGGGATTGTTGGCTCTGGCAAAGTCGTACGTTTGCTTGCGCTCCTTCTTCCACATCGTATTGTCAAATTTACCGCCGTTTTCGTTGGCCATCTTGACGATGTTGTTCCACCTGTCAAGTTGGAAGTTGTGATTGTTGCCAAAGTAAGTATCGGCTCTCGTCATGGAGCCATCTATCTCGAAGACTCCGTGTTGCTACATGGAAGGGTACCGCAAATGCGAGAGCATCATCAGCAGAGGCTTCCCTGACTCGCCAGCCCGCCGATGGCCAACTCACCTGAATGCCGCCTGGAGGGGAGAGGGGGGATAGGACGTAGGTATCAGAAAGAAGGTCCATCCCACAAGATCGCTGACCGTCAACTCACCAGCTTTCCCCAGCGTGTTGGGCACGCGGCTATCAGGGCCACCGATCGACATCTTCCCTGACAAGATGTCACCACCAGCCAAGAGACCGAGGGCTGACAGGAACGTGCAAAGGTCGTAGCTGAAGCCAAAAGCCTGTTGGCAGCCGTTTGAAGCCTCGGCAAAGGTCGTGACTATAATCGGTGCCGGGAGATGAAATGAATCAGCATCGTGCGAGCAAGGCATCACACTGGCACATGGTCTCTTCGTCAACTCACTTCCATTTCTGGTGACGCAAGACGGGAACAAGAGAGATGCTTGGGTGAGCACGTGAGTCGAGACGAGCGCGGATCCGACGTCGGAGCCACTCACCTAGCGATGTAACCGTGGTTCGCCATCGTGCTAAAGAAAGGCGTGTAGCGTGATCGGTCAGTACGAAAGCTGCGTAGATCAAACAGCACGCGCAATTTTCTCACTTCAAAGTGGGGCATAAGCCGCGAATGTCGGTCGGGCCGGGGGCCTTGTAAGGGTGAGCGGCGTCGGGGACGAGCACTGCGCCCTGCTTCTGAGCAGCAGGCAAGCCAAGTGCAGATAGCACACCAGTCAGAGGTTCGAGCAGACCGTCGAGACCAAGCAGACGCTTTGGGAACTGAGTCCCCTCAGCCGTTCGCCTCTCCACGCGTTCTCGAACGATTTGTCCGACGGTGAAATCTTTGTGGGAGCGGGAGGCGTACTCCGGAAAGGCGAGGACGCTTTGAGCACCCGCGAGCGCGACGGCGAGGAGAGAAAAAGAGGTGGTGAGCTTCATGATGGGGGAGAGATTGGTTGCAAGGATATGACGGGAATTGGGAAATTGTTCGGGATGGAAAGAGTGAGCGATTGAAGGACGTGAGTGGATAAGGACCAGAGAAAGAGTGCTAGAGCAACATCATCTCCCGTATTTGTACCTTTCGTCCCGGCCATTGATCATACGTGTGACGCTGCGCTTGATGGTCCCGTGTCTGACCGTATTCAAGTCGAAGTGCTCTTGCGCGAGTGCATAAGCAAGTGCATACCATTGAGGGCATCATCAGCAACAGCTCTCGGCGGAACCAATCAGGTGGACATGAATCGAGTCCTAGCTCTCGAGACAATGGAGGCATGGATGTGATAACAGATTTGTGCTTCCGTGATTGGCTCAGCTCCTGCGACTGCATCCTGATACGGCGAGGAGTCGCTGTTGGCGCCAATCAATTGGAGCTCTTTGGAGGGATGGAGCACTCGCTAGCGCTATCTGGGATGGCTACAGAGCGTTTGAGACCTTCTTGAGCGCGTGTTCTGCTTTCATGCTTCCTCTTTGCCCCATAGCGCCAGGACGCATGGCGCTTGTGAGAGACGTGCACTCTTCCCCTTCGCCCGTGTTCCTTGAACCGGAACTCGACTTACCCAGGTTTAGGACGAATTGTACAGACTTTGCGTTAAGCCGGTCTGGTGTAGTCGGCTCTGTTGGCCACTAGAGCTCCGCCGAGGTCAAGAGAACGAGCTATTCAGCTCTTCAATGTGTCAGATAGCAAAGACTTACCCAGGCAGGCCTGTGCTCAGATTGGTCCGGATCTGGAAGCCCGGCAGGATCTCTCACCTTTGCAGCAATTCCACTTGGAGGCGCTCTTGCCCTTGGATAGATGGTCTTCGAGGTCGAGCCGAGGGAGCTACTTACTGAGCTCCATACTCGCTTACTGGCTTGCATTTTAGCGTCGGCATACCCGACAACAGTAAGCCTCGCCTAGCTTGCTCTGCACCAGTGCATGTATGGCGGCTGGCTCAAAGCGGCGTCTTCTCGAGGATCTGCGTCCGACATCGGGCGAGCATAGCTGGAAACGCCGTGCAACCTGATCTGTTGCCTTTCAAGACTGTCTGTCGTTTAATTGCTGGATCTCTTTAGCGCGCCGGTTGAGTACCAACTTCATCACGTCTTTGAGTGTGTCCAGGGTCCAGTTGGAGCGACCTAGCTGATCCGCTATATCATCATTGCCTAATTCTCGACATGTGTGTATCAATACTCAGCGGCCAATCAGCGTCCGACCATTTGCTATCAACGCCTGGCTGCTCGTGGTGCTCCAATAAGTCCGTCCTGCCATGCATGGACTTGATCGTTCTGGTCTCTTTGAGGACGGCAGCTGTCTCTTTGCTTGGCCGGTATAGATACGGCAAGGTGGTTGGTTGGATGTCTGCAACTTTGATAAGGTCCTGTCAGCGTCTTGTGGATGCAGCTAGGCGCCGCGCGGTGCTTCTCCGCGTCAACTTAATCCCCCCCCCCCCCCCCCCCCCGCGGCCCGCAAGTTTCTTGCCTACCACTACTACTAGCTGCTAGGCCACAATAAGGCGGTAGGTGCATGCATGCAGCAGGGCGCTCGCTCTGTCTGACTGTAGCGCAATCAGTGAATCAAGACTCACGCCCGCGCCCTGCCCCCCACACGGGAACCACCGCGGTGCATCGGGTCGTCATAATCTGACGGGTCACCAATGTTCCAACCACGCCTAAGCGTGTGTGTTGGAGCAGCGACCAGCAGCACGGCTCGAAGCGGCCCGATTGCAGTCAAGAGTGTAGCTGTCACAACAAGCGCTGCACTAGTCTGAGTCCCGCGCTGCAAACGTCACGCGGCAAGAGGCAGACAAGTCCGGCGCTAGTTGTGGACGTCCACTCTGCGACATGCTCAACGACAACGAGTCTCTTCTGAAGAAATTTTCGTAGCAACCCACCTTAGCTCTGACAGCGTATCAGTCGGCGGCAAGGCTTGGCCAAGCGCGCACCGACGCCCGTGTACCGTACTCGCAAACGCGCATCGTCCTTGTGTTGTGGTCTATTAGCGGAATTGATACTCACACGTCTGCTCGGCATTCCCGAGCGTACGTCGTGCGGCAGCTTGAGCGCGGGGGCCGATCTGGCGCTTCGAGGTGGAAGCAAGGTCACAGCAAGGCTGCCTCGCTTCTTATCGCATGGGCCACGCGTCTGATATCCGAGCTCTACCACGCGCTCTTTGATAGAGCAATATTAATGTTGCATTTCGAGACAAGAGATGGACCGTTTGTGTGTGCGAAGATGCATCGGAGAGTCAAGGAGCGAGGGCGGAAAGTGGTCAGGAGCAAATTGCGCTGCGTCTGACTCGCATGCCGAAGAGGCACAAGGGCCGCCTCCACCGCTGCTCCATTAAGCGCGCCGCATCAAGACCACTTCCCAATTCGAAGCTCTTCCTGCCATCAGTAAGCGTCAGGAGCATCGATAGCGTACCGACGGAACGTGTAGCCCAGGCTGAAAAAGCGCGTCGCAAAGAAGAGTTGTTGCCAGGTCAGCGGCGACGCATACAGGCGGCAAGCTATCTCCAACATATGCTGAAGTCCCAACTCACAAGGCCAGGTCTCTCGTAGCACCAGGCCCGACATCTGCGCCGGCCGGTACGTCTGGCACGTCTTGATAACTGTGCGATATATCGCAAAAGTTGCGAAACAGAAGGTCAGTCTGCCGTACGCCTAAGTCACCATCGAAGCACGAAACCTCAACGCACTCTTCGGTGGGGAAGTAGCTAGTATCGGTGACGCTCTTGAGCTGCGGTACAAATGGCGCATCGATCGCTCTGATCGAGTCCCAATCCACTCCCGCAAAGAAGGGGTGCTCCTTGATCTCTGTCGCTCCATTTCTTCCCAACCTATTCTCGGGCGCGCAGATGAATCTCTTGATCAGATCCTCCGCTTCCGGACTCAGATGAATATCATCCGGGAATTGCAGCGTTTCCCTCCACGCCAAAATCTTGCGGTACGTGTCGTGCGCATTTTCGGAGCAGAATGGTGGATAGCCGCACAAGCACTCGAACATGATCGCACCCAATGACCACCAATCGCACTCGTTGCCGTAGCCTTGCTGCAGGAAGATTTCAGGCGCGATGTAGTCTGGTGTGCCCACGGTGGAGTAGGCCTGTCGAACGACGTTTCAATTTCGGGCACAAGCTTCATGTTCGCTTACGCGCGCATCTACTCACCAGCTTTCGCCTGTTCGCTTTCCAGGTCGCAATGGCGTCTTTGGAGCTGAGGGTGAGAGTGATTGGATTGACCGCCACACTGTTGCGACCACTCTGTTGCGGGTTGCTGTTGTTACCATCAAATAGTCGTTGATAGTAGGCAGAATCGTGCTGCTTGTGAAAGCCAGTAGACAGACCAAAGTCTGAAAGCTTGATGTGGCCCTTGGAGTCGATGAGGATATTGTCCGGTTTGATGTCTCTGTGAATGAAGCCCAATTTGTGGATGCCTTCCAGGGCTAGCACGCATTCGGCCATGTAGAAGCGAGTCACATCGTGGGAGAAAGTGTCGTATTTGATGAGCATTGTCATGAGGTCGCCTCCCGGCAAGAATTCCATGAGCAGGTAGAGGTACTGAGAGTCTTGGAAGCTGTAGTACAGCTGCACAACCCAGGGAGAGTTCGACTCTGCAAGAACGTCTCTCTCCGCCCGTACATGCGCAAGCTGCGAGGAAGTCGAGTGAAGCACGTCAGCTGAAATGCATAGCCGCCCCTTTTGTGTACATACTCACCTGGTCCTTCTTGAACATTTCGCTCTTCTTCAAAGTCTTCATCGCGTAGATTCTGCCCGTGTCGACTTTTTGCACGAGTCGCACTTCTCCAAATGCGCCCTTGCCGATCACCTTGACAGTCCTGAAGTCGTCCAAGCCCAGCCGCGTTCTGCGCAACCGCAAAAATCCTGACTCCCTTCTGCCCAGCGCAGTCAGTTGCCTGTTCTTGCGCTCATCGGACGTACCAGTCTCTGATGCGAGGCGCTTCTCTAATTCGACCCGTCTGCATGCGGAAAGAGCACAATGTAAACGTTTGAAATTTCGGCACCCTACACCACGCTGCGCTCACCTCTGACTCCTCTCGATGGCCTGCTCTACAGCAACCTTGTAAAAGTGCTCCAACTTCAACTTGGCACCTGTGGCCGCGTCCAGCGTTGTCTTTGCCATGCCCTGCGTCGCTCTCTCAAAGTAGACGTAATCGTCTCCTTTATCACCCGCAGTGGACGTTGGAGCCGACGTCTTTGGAGAGGAAGCACTTGTCGTTGAAGGCGTAGACATGACGCCTTGCATCGCTTGCGGCCCATTGCTATTTGCAGCCTGAGCATGAGGAGGCTGAGGAGATGGGGATCGGCCGGGGGATCTTGGAGCGTACGCAGCAGCAGCCGGAGCTCTAGTGGGAGAGCCGCTGGGACTGCGTGGGTACTGCTGCGCCTGAGGCGCCAAGCCTTGCTGCTGTGCGTAGGCGTGCTGCTGTTGGAGCTGGTAGTGCATCTGAGCTTGCTGAGCAGCCAGTAATTGTGCTTGGTGCAAGGCTGCTGCCTGCGACATGGCAGGATGTTGCAGCTGTGAAGGAGGTGCTTGAGCTTGATGCGCTAGTGCCGCATTTGCAATTTGGGCGGAAAGGGGTGATCCGTATTGCTGCGCGTAAGCTGCGATCATGCGGAGCAGAAACGTTGCTCTCGCCACGTTAGTCTTCAATGTCAAGAGACAGATACCTCGCTGTACCACACGACTCTCACCCTGATTTGCGGCAAAGCCGCCTTGACCAGCAGGAGCATAGCCATAGCTCTGGGTAGGAATGGTTCCTTGTCCGTACATGGGTCTGCCAGATCCAGCGCCGGCCTGCTGCTGCTGCTGCTGCTGCTGCTGTTGATATTGCTGTTGCTGAAAGTGCTGCTGTTGAGCATTCGGACTTGCGCCAAATTGAGCAGAGTACGCCATGGTCTGAGGCTGGCTGACTTGAGGCAATGCGGAGCCTCCCGCTCCTGGTCCTGGCGATGAGCCTCTCATACCTCCTGGAGGTCCTTGTGGTCTGTATGCCATCCTGAGCTGGTCTCAGAAGTGAGTCGATCTTGTGACGCGTCTTGGGCGCGTGATGCTCGCACAAAGCACAGTTGCACCTCACTTGCAATTTGGTGCTGCGCCACAGACGATTTGGCGAGAGTCACAGTGCGGCACCGATGAGGTGCGAAATTGAGAGGCGCAAGGTGTCGATGATGCCGACCTGAGCTCCGTCCCGCCAGTCCCAAGCGGAGGAGTGCGACGATTGCCCGCAAGAGAAGCGACTTCCGCTGGAATGTGCTCAAGTCCTAGAGCCTAATCGTGATTGGGATGGATTGTGAGACTACCGAGTAATGGCTGCTAGGCTCGTCACCAGTAGTGGATCGTGTGCAGGCGGTCGGAGGGCGGAAGAAGCTTTGGTTTCCGGAAGTGTCAAGAAACACGAATGTACTGGTCTATGCTGTGAGCGCGGCCAACGCTGTTAAAGTGGGAACGCCGCGCTAGCCAGACCGCCCGCGTTTGTGTTGCCTGACGCTTGCGCCTGTTACTGTAGCTTGTTGCTGCTGCCGCGTCAATCGTGAATCGTGAATTGAACTCGTCTGCCTGGCACTCTGCTGCTGATGCTTGGGCGCGAAACGTCGACTGCTGGTGAGGTCTCAGATGGCGCTAGTGCGTACAGCAACAGCCCGCACTCAAGATTGACTACCGAGTTTCGGGGGGTCTGAGCGCGTGATGTGCTGCGTGACTCTTGACTCTGACTGGTCACTCAGTCATCGTGAGTGACAGACTCAAAGTGCGCGCCATACACGCCTGCGTCACGCTTGCGGGCCCATGCATGGCCTATGCCACTGCGTTCTCAAGACGCCACGCTCTGTGCTGTCAAGTTGCGCGGTTGTGTGCCACGTGGTTCGGCCGTTGAGACCTGTAGCGCACGTGATCCTTACGACACGCCTAGCCTTTCCTTCCACCGACTCGCCATGCAAGAGAAGCTTATTCCTTCTCAATCAACACGAAAGAATAGCCCGACCGCATGATGCCATTAGGACTCCACCTTGAGACAGCTCCGGAGAGGCGAAGGAGATGGTAGCTTCCCGAGGCTCATCAGGACACGCCTCTCAACGAGTGTAGACATGTGTGCCTCGCGACCGGATCACAAGCTTGAGTATGCGTCGAGATGGTTGTGACGAGAACCGAGTGTATGTAGCGCTGTCGAGCCCGAAGAGCGATGCTTGCCCCTCGGTGCTACGCAGCTACAGTAGTAGCCCCCTTCCCGATCCGCCTCGGCAAAAATGGCCGAGTCTCTCATGCGGGACAGACTTGTACACGGCGCTGATGTTCTTCCTTAGCTTCCCGAGTCTTTCTTTTGCTTCCGCTGCGATCAGCCTTCGAACGAGCATACAGTGCAAGACTTATTTAGTCCGCACTCGTGCACTTTCCAATCTGCTGCAGATGTCCTCCTCGACCAAGCCGAGCTTTCTCCACAATTCATGCGGGAGCTGAAGGCCAGCTGCTCGACCGAGTCCAGTCGAGCCTCTTCGATGGCTGATCGGGCAGAGGAGCGATGCAGCGTGCTGTGCTGTATGCCCGCAATTCATATGCGCAACAAACACCCCTCATCCCACCTCTCTCCCAGGAGAGTCACAGTGCGGAGCGCGAGTGGCTTTTCTGCTCGGCAGGAAGCTTGGAATCTTCTGTCGTCGTGTACAGACCTTCCAGCGATTTGTACAATATGCATATAACTCGCATCCCTACACCTTCTTGTCCACCATCACGTCCCTCAGGAAGCCATCAGCATTTCAGAAAAACGCCCTTCCCGAAATTACACACAATGTCTACCATTCCTCAGGACCCTCAATTCACAAAGGCGGTAGAGATTGCCAAGTGAGCGCTGCATGACTCGAGGCTGTGATAGCGGATGCGAATCCGCTGACGCTGACTATTCCTCCTGACAGCGACCCCAAGCGCGGTCTGAGCATCGGTCTCGGCATCTCCGAGAAGCTTGCTTACTGGGGCCTGTGAGTGTCCTTGCGAATAGTCCAGAGCTGGTGCTCTTCATCCTTCAGAGCGCACTTGCTCACTCCACACTCTCGTTTCTTCCGGCTCGACTCAGTTCTGAGCAAGGACTCAAGGGAGATGTCACTGGCGACCGTCCGGGCATTTTGCACGTCGAGGCTCGTCTCAAGTACGATGCGTGGGCCAAGAACCAGTGAGTCGACCGGTCTCGCCTGAGCTTAGAGGATTACTAGCGGAACATGCCCTGCCGATGCCGGACACGACGCCGTCACGGGTCCTATTGGCACTCATACGAACTCTCATCTCTTCTCGCAGGGGTCTGGACCCTCAAGAGGCTCAGAAGCAGTACATCGAGAAGTTCATTGCTGTGAGTGCACGCATCAATTGCTGAACTTATCACTTGGAAGCGCTCACGCGTCCTTGCCCGACTTCGCTTGCCTTTCACGTACGCACGAACAGGACCTCGAGAAGCACTCTGCCAGTGAGTCTTGGTCATGATTCAATCGCTCTATGCTCGGTGCTGACGTGCAGTGCTTCCCTTGTCATTCTCACACTTTAGAGAAGCCCCAGTGCAACGAGTGGAAGGCGGAAGTCCTGGCTGCTAAGGCTTAGCCTCTGAGCCTGATTCAATGTCGTCCACGCTGGACGCAGCTCTACAGATTCTCACTACTTGCAATGCGATCGCCGTCACCTTCGTCTCACGCTGCGCAACCAGAGCTGGTTTTCGAGAATTGGCTCAAGAAGAATGCGGGCAGGCAGTGGTCAGCGTTGAAGCTTCTCGCTGTTGGGCGTGGGTGAGTATGATGGGTATCGAACGTATGATCGGTATTGAACATGTATGGGACGGGTGGATGCCCTCTTTCTCCAATACGAATTGAGCAGAGGCTCGAAGAGTCCGCGGTGACCTGGCCTTCATCCGCGCAGCTCTCCATCCGGAACTAGACTCACCCTGTTGATCGCATACTCATGTCTTGACGTTCAATTGGCCGAGACTTGTGACTCTGACTCACTTTACAGCTCTTGAGGGGGTCTCGTAGTGATTGTCACGCGGGGCTAGATACGTCATAGTCTTCCGGCCCGGCCCAGATGCTGCTTTTCAAGGCTCGATGAATCAGTGAAGTCAATGTGACTGCCACTTTTTGTGGAGACTGGATTGTACGACGAATTACGCCGAGATGTTCCTGTGCGAGCAGCATGCCGAGTCGATCTGAAGAGGACGTGTGCGACGAGGCTTACGCGCCCTTCTCATCAAGAGTGATGGCGAGGAACGCACCGAAGCGGCAAACGTGATTCCATAGGCGGGGTGCAGTGCGCTGTCATACAATTGTGGATGGTAGTTCAGCAACAACGAGCGGCACTTCATCAGTCACGAGAAACTGTCTGCATGCAAAGTACACGTACTGTAGTGAGTGAGTTGTGCAAGCCCTAGACACACATGTTTATCACATGTAGCCTTGTCCGTGCCGAAGCAGTCTGCGAATTCTACACAGGACTGCACAATCGTCCATGCCCGACAAATGGAGAGGGGTTAGTACAGACACGGATAGGTGTCCGCTCACGGCTGTCTGACTTCATCGAAGGTGGGGACAGGGCAAAGCGGCAAAGCGGCAAAGCGCCTGGGTCGAAATCTCGGCAATCGTGAATGCGCTGCCAAAGTCGTGGTAGAATCACGATTGGCTGCGTGACCGCAGATTGAGAGAATCACAATCAAGAATCACGAATCTGAATGTGAATCATCCAGCATCGAATCGACCCGACCTATACATAGCTGCATGGCCCCGCTCACAGACGGAGGGGACGCACATGTACCTATACATATAACGCGTGCGCGACTCCCCCAGTCCGCGCTACATGCTGTATGCGATAGGCGAGTCTGGCTGCGCCCGTTTGGGCGTGCGTCGCACCCTAGCCGCCGTACAAATACCATCTCGAAGCTACACCGCACGCAGCTGCGTGCCCACAGGTCTTTGCATGATCGTTTTCCTCTCGCGCACGCGCGGCTGATGTGAAAGTAGAATCTAGCTGCGCGGGGAACGCGCGCGCGCTCGCGCTGGTGCTGTGTGTTTGCATGCATGGGCTCGAGGCAGGTGCTGCGCTGTAAGCCCCAGTCGTGTGTGTTGTGACGCAGGCACACGCATGAGTTCATTTAAATGGAGGTAAAACTTCAAAGGTCATAAGTTGACGTTTTTGTATGTTCCAGCTGGGGCTCTAATCAAGGATTCAGAAATGAGCCACCAGACTCAACTCCACCTCATCTCATGTTGTGTCTTGCGTCGACCGCAGGCTGGCGGTATAGCCAGAGAAGATCAACGTGTCGCCTACATCTCACCAATCCGAACTCCCTCCTACCTTTGCAATTCTCTCTCACTCTACGGAAATTGAGGTTTGCCCACCGGTCGCTACCGCGCACGCCTCGTTCACTGACTCCGGTCCTCAGCTACGTCTGGCAGTCAAGAGTCAGAAGCCGATATGGGGACACAGCGGTCTACCACGTCTCGCGCAGCATCAAGTTCAACGCCGACGGTGCAGTCCGCCTCAATGTCAGCAACCCTGTCCGGAGTGAGGGCGTCCCTTGATGCTACCCCAACAACACCCAAGCGGCCGCCAAATGCAGCTTCACCTCCCAGGCCCGCCGCTTCGTCTCGGAGCTTGCGCACCTACACCCTTACTCCCTCTGCTCCGGCCATTGGCACGCCAGAATACAAGAAGAGTACAGCCGCTACATCCTCTACGGTAAAGACGGACCATCCGCTATCCTCTGAAGCGTCTGCTCCGCCTCGCGCAGCTGATGACAGCGACTTCCTGGACAGCGATGGGGAGCTGGATGTGGATGCGGATGGAGAGGAAGTGGAGAGTGTATGCGAGCTAGCAGAAACCCAACCAGGTGGAACCAGCAGTACACAAGCAACATCGTCCAGTTTTGTTTCTCTCGACGAGGGGCGGTCGAGTCAGTCGGCCATGCCCGAGCATCCCCTGATCGCAATGACACCGATACTCAGCTTCACTTGGTTCGACAAGGATCGCATGCCCAGTCCTACGGAGTGCCAGGCGGACCATGGTCGCAAGTGTGTCGTGATGCCCGAAGACCGCAAGGCTGAACGGGAACAGAAGAAGTTTCAGTGGCTCTCCATCGACGTCGACTTGGGATACCTCAGCTTCTACAAGGACTGGGGACCGCTCAATATGGCCATGTTTTATCGCTTTTGTTTGCACGTAGCTTGCATGCACTTGGTGAGTTTCACCGGCTATATGTTGGCACGGAGCAGAGTCGGCAGTCCAGAGAGCTAAGCCAGTAGACCACGCGCCGCGTAGGATCCGGATGAAGATCATCTCGTGCTGTACACCTCTTCAGATCCACACAACAAGGCAAACGCGGCGTTGCTTGCTGCCATGTATGCGATGGTCATCGAAAGGCTTTCCCCTTGCGATGCCTTCCATCCATTAGCTGAGGTGAGTGGCATTGCCTGACTTGGTCCTTCTAGGCAGCCTGAGCTAACGCACTCGGCTCTGCAGCTTGAGTTTGAGCCGTTCAGAGACGCTGGCTATGGGCGAGCCGATTTCTGCCTCACAATTCAAGACGTGCTGTACGGATTCCACAAAGCACGAGAGTGCGACGTCTTGCAGCTCGAGAATTTCAACCTGGACGAGTATGAGTGGTACGAAAGGGTAGAGAATGGTGATTGGAACTGGATCACGCCCAACATCATCGCCTTTGCGTCGCCGAACGACAAGGGGTGGGAAGCGGGCTTGAAGTTGCCGCCTGCTGAGCGCGAGAAGAGAACCAACGCTGCTTTTACCCGCTCCATCAAGTACTTCAAGCAGCATTCCGTGGGTGCAGTTGTCAGACTCAACAACCCTCTGTATGATCGCGAGGCGTACGAGCGCGTTGGAATCGAACATTATGTGAGTGCAGCAAGGCCAGACCAGTGCTCGTATAGGGCTCACGTCGTTCGCCCTTCGAATGCAGGACATGTACTTCGACGATGGCTCCAATCCTTCCGACCAGATTCTACGGGCTTTCATCAAGTTGGCCGATGAGACTGTAAACAAAGGCAAAGTGATCGCAGTGCACTGCAAAGCTGGACTCGGCCGGACGGGTGTATTGATTGGCGCATACCTCATCTGGAAACATGGCTTTACCGCTCAAGAAGTCATTGGATTCATGCGCATCATGAGGCCCGGATGTGTAGTCGGACCCCAGCAGCGCTTCATGTACGAGAACTTTGTCGAGTGGATTCGATGGAGTACGCGCGATATTGCACTCAAGGAAGCGAGGGAAGCTATCGAAGCGGAGAAAGAGGCGCTGAAGAAGCAAGGTTTCGTAGAAGGGAGAAAAAGTCGCAAACGTGGTGCAGAAGACGAAGCGGACGATACATCAACGTCTACCGAGGAGCGGGAAGAGCGTGCTGTGGATGGACTTGTCACGCCCCGTGCCAAGAGAACACTTGCGGAGGTACCAAGCAGTGTAGCGCCAGCGATAAAGCCCACACCTTGCGTGGGACAGCCTCGAAAGAGCCCCAAGTCGACCAGGAAGCGCCAGGCTACTGCGCTGCGGCACGTCTCTTCCATCGGCTCGCTGACGCATGACACGCGCACAAAGAGCATGCCGGACCCTGCGGAGGCTGAGGCTGCAAAAAGCACCGCTGCCCCTGTGACGGGCTTCATGCCCAGGTCTGTGAGCGACGAGAGCCTCAAAGCGCTTGCTGAGAACATCAGCAACCATTCTGGCAAGGCACCGCCTACGCCCGGCCCCTCTGTACGGCTGGAAGCTGCTGGCACAGGCATGCGCGGAGGCACGCCTCCTTTGGCACCTTCTACACCCGGCAGAGTATTGGGCGAAGCTCACCGCATCAACATGCAGGCCGGGCACGGTGGTGGAGTACTGCCAATGGGACTGTCTACGCCACCTAACCCGTCCGGCAGCTTTACAAAGATCAAAGCTGCGACAGTCGGTCGTCCCGTCAGGACACACCATGAGCGAAGACAGAGCACGATTGCAGCTCCTACCTTCATGGTCGATGATGTTTTTACGGATGCACCGCCTTCTGCGCACGCTTTTGCGCCTCCGTCTTCATCAGCTGGCGGTGCGCGGACAGCGAGCCCTCGGATACCGACTTTCCGCGCAAGTCCTCAGATCAAGACAAAGTATGGTCTGCGCGATACGAGCAAAGACCATGCGCCGGGGTCGAGCATAGAAGTCGAAGATGGTGCGAGGTCAAAAACGTCATCAGCAGATGGCGCGGGGAATGGCGTTGCGGATAGAGTTGGCAGCAGTCAGACATCGGAGACGAGCGCCAGCAGTCGTGCGTCTGCGCAAAGATCCGCATCCGGCAGCTCCGCACGAAGGCAAAAGATGTCTGGGGCGACTCGCATACCCAGCGGCTCGAGCAGGACGCGGACAAACGGAACGGCGCAATTGTCTGTCAGCGCGAAGCGCGCAGCAGCGTCGTCGTCTTCGCAGCAGCTGCAGCAGCAGCATGAGACGTGCAACGCGGCGACTGGGACGAATGGGCCCCGATCGGGCGTTGCGCGCGTCGCTGCGGCTACCAAGAGACTCTACGGACCGACCGTCGCATCGCTGGCAAGATCTCGAGGTGCTGAAGCTCCTGATTCATCCTCATCCTCACACGCATCCTCGGCTGCCTCTTTGACCGCAAGCCCTCAGCTCTCTGCATCCAGCAGGTCCGCGAGCCGAACGCCTAGCGCGGTCAATGGCGCTGTAAGACTTGGACGGGTGCGACCGCGAAGAAGCAGCTTTAGCGATGCGGACCTCCAAATTTGAAGCGATTGCCCACCTGGGCCCCGTTTTTTCTTTTCCCGGACAGAAAACCGCATCGCGTCTTGTCTCCTATGCATCCTTTTTCCGTGCAATCACCAATGCTTTGCCCCCCTCCACCAAACTTTATGCATGCACGGCCAGACGGTGAAGAGGAGCGGATGGGTGCCTCGAACGCCTCGGGGAGCCGAGTGGCTGGCTGATGCGTGGTGGAGCGTATGCAGGAAATGTGTGCGCATTGCGAAAGATGGTGTGTTGCTGCAAGGGATGAGAGACGCGCACAGTACAGTACAGTAGGACAAGAAGGCGACTCTCGAAAGACGATGAATGTGTGTGTGTGTGTGTGAGAGAGTGTGTATGGGGGTGTGTTTGTGTATCACGTTTGGCACGGTCTGAGCATTGCCTTTTCTCAAGATGAAGATAGGCTAGTGATGGAGCGGATGCAAATTGTGCGTTGTCCTGTGTGGAAACACAAAAAAGGCAATGAATCGTAGCCTTGGCACGTAGCGATCCGGAGCACGAGCGCAAGTCGAAGGCATTGTCGAGTAGAGCAAGCAGCAGGGCGTTGCGAAAGGAGGAAGCTGAAGAACATCGAGCTTCCAAGGTCCAGGATGGGGGTCCACATTGCAGAGCAGAATTCTCTTTCTTTGTCGAGGAGGACGACTCGCGTGCCCAGGGTTCGAGGGAAGAACATGAAAGGAGGAAGAAAACGGGTGAGGGGGGAGGGATTAAAAGCAAGAGCCTTAGGCTTCATACGCCCCGCCCTCCTACTCGTCCTTGTCCTTATCTTCCAGCTTCTCCAAAGCTTTCCTCCTGCCTCTAGATCCATAATCCACCTCCTGATCCAGCGCACCTTCCAAGTCCTCCGACGCAGCAGCAGCATGTTCCAAGTTCAAGTTGCTCGAGGCGTTTCTGGAATGTCTGCCGCCGCCATGCGCGGAAGAAGATTTTCCAAAAGCTGTTGGCGTGCTGGCTGTGGTCCTGCTCGGATTTCTGCTGAGGGAATGCAGACTGCTACTCCCACCAGCGGCGTCTCCTCGCTCCGCTCTAGCAGCAGCAGTAGCGCTGCTACCAGAGAAGCCTAAGCCCAGACCTGCGGACGCCCCTGCTTCCCTGTCCGACGAGGTCAAGGGTTTGTCCATCTCGTAGGACCAGCCGCCAGCTGAAATGTTCCTCTGTCTTCGTCTGCTCTTGTGAGCGGAGAGAACTAGGAGCAGCATCAACGCGCTCAGGACCAGCGTGACCAGCGTCAACCAAAAAGCTGCGCCGTACCGAACGTCGATGACCGCTTGACCCAACGTGTTGATGGCCGAAGGGTCCGAGAGTCTGCGATGAGCGGGAACAAAGATGGCCAGGTCGATGATGAAGGCTACCAGCGTCAAGAGAAAAGTGATGCACACCAAAAGTGGCGCAGAGAGGTTGGGCTTCTTCACTCCGACGAGCAAAGAGATCAAGGCGAAAAAGGAGAATGCGCAGGAAAGTGGATGCACGACCAGCTATTTGGGCCGGGGTGGGGGACAGGGGCAAGGGGAAAGAAGGAGGAGCAGCATGATGCGTTAGACTCGCAAGACGGCAAATTGTCAATCGAATGCCGTGTTGACCAGCACACCAATCCTACATTCAAGTGTATGAGCAAGCTGCAGCATCCAGAAGCTGTCGTTCGCGCTGTCAGCCATCCGCCAGCTTGGCATGGTCCCCTTCGCTTCGTCGGCAACCATGCGCACTCATGCTGCCCCCCCCCCCCCCCCCCCCCCCCCCCCCCCCCCCCCCCCCCCCCCCCCCCCCCTAGGCTTCCCGTGACCCCATTTCAGGAGATCTTGAACTCACAGCTTTGGGCAAGCCGCCGCCTTCGGTGCCAAAGAACACCTCGACGATGGTGGAGTAGGTCGTATCTTTCCAGCCAAGGGATGAGCTTGGGCAGCTGAAGGAAGCCGGATTGATGACCGTCCCATCAACCAGCGTTTCCTCCGGCGTTCCTGTGCAGATCGTCCAAATTCCAAAGATGCTAAACTGCGCAATGTACAGGACAGACACGCACGCACGCGCACAGCATGGAGTTTGTCAGTTGCGATGGTTGTGATGCTGGGCTTAGACGGGCCGCCCATGGACATGGACTCTTGGCTCACCTGAGCAAAGCTCAAATCGAATCGTAGAAAGTCGATGCTCAGAATGGTAGGAAGCCCAATGGAGACTAGCAGCTGGATGATCCAATTGGCCAGGGCCAGAGCTACAGGCAACCAAGCCAGGGTGAATTGAACCCATTTGTTCTCCGAGGCGTGGAGCATGCCCAATTTGCTCATGAGGATGGAAATGGGACCTTGTCCGGCCGTGGAAGAGGAATGTGCGTGATGAGGGTGAGGGTAGTACCGATCCGAGTCCGTGTCGAATCTTCGAAAGCTGGAGTTGGGATTGAAACGCTTCGGAGAGAGGCTAGAGAGCCGAGAAAGGAGAGGCATTGGGCGTGGTTGATGAGATGGCGAGATGCGGATCGCGGAGGAGGCGTCGAATGGATGGATGGATGGATGGATGGATGGATGGATGGATGACTGATTGGGGCCTTCCCTTGATTCGAAGTTTTGCAAAAGGCCAGTCTTGCTTCTCACTCAGCGGGGGAGAGGGGGGGTAACACTTGGGACAGCGTCGGGCCAGCGAGCAACCAATTGTGTCCAGCAGCGACGGCGACGGCGACGGCGACGGGGAAGGGGACAGCGATAGCGACAGCCACAGCCACAGCCACACTCGCGCGGGTGTCTGACTCTTTGTACAGATCGAATCGAATGGCAACAAGTTTCAAAAGAAGGAACGGCAAATGGCAGGTTGGCTGTTGCGTGTTGATGGCCCCGAATCAAAGGTGAATGAATGGCGCACAGGTGTGGACATTACATTCGGCAACCCAACAAGCCCAAAGACAAACGCAAATGATCAACGTAAATAATTGCTTTCACTCACGACTATAGAGAACAGAAGACTCGCTCGCGGACTGCAGCAGCAGCAAGCAGCAAGGGGTGGGGGAGGCAGACGGCGACTCACACCCATCAGCAGCAGAAGAAGACACGCCGCCGCGCCCACAAATTCCCATCCATCGATTGCATATGCTGCAAAGGCATGCGGCGAGCGAGCGAGCGGCCAACTCTCACGCACGCACGCGGCTATGGAGTCAGGCTTGGCCAAGCAAGCAAGCAAGCAAGCAGATGGAGCGGGGTCCCAACGCGGAGGGATGGAGCGTCACGTCGGTTCTTTCCAGCAGCCTTGGCTGATGCAATTTGCACCCGCACCCGCACCTGCACCTGCACCTGCACAGCATGCCCCGGCAAGCCGGCTTCACCCCGCAAGCACATGCAGCAGCACGCGGAGTAGATCACTCACACTTACGAGCAGGTGTGCTAGCTGCAAAGCACAAGGTAAGTGACCTGCATGCATGCCATGCGTATGCACGCATGCATGCCCTGCTGCACTCGACCCTTGACTCGTGGGTGGGTGCTATAGCCCAGCCTACAGCTACAGCGGTCTTCCATAGGTAGGAGCCATGCCATCTGAGCTGATTAATTGATGATGCACCTCTCTGCTCTCTTCAGCTGGCGATACATACAGTCGTGAGTCAGATGAGACTATTTGCGACCGCGAGTGGGACGCTTTGCCAAAAATCGTGATCGATTGTGATTGTTCATCGACCTCGCTCCGCCGAATTGGGTGTGCCTCGAGTCGGAGTCAATCCAAGATCGAGCTGATCGCCCCTCCTTTGCCTAGATATGGGCAAGAAGGAGTGTTCGGACATGCGCCGCCCACAATCGGGGCAAAGTACTCGTCCAGCCCCCCAAATTCTGTGTCAAGTTGCGTTCATTGAATGGAATGGAAGAGCGGAATTTGGGCTTTTTGTCGCAAGAGGGCGATACAGATCAGTCATTCTTCGAACCATCGGCCTATTCGTGCTCCGTAGACACATCTTCACAATCTCGTCGCGATGGCATTGGAGCGATCGTTGGTGCTCTGTGGTGTGCCACCAAGACCATCTTGATGCGCCATTCACGATTGATCGCGCGCAGCGTGTCAGGACGAGCGTCTCGCCTTTGATCGAGCGGTCAAGGTCGATGCTAGTCAGGGGAGAGAATCCTCATGATAGAGAAGGTACAGGTCCACGCAGGCTGCAAGGACCTCACCGAAGATTATGAACATCTTTGGCCACATCCCACATCATCCATCTAATTTGCAACGCCATTCTTCCCAACCGTTGGCAGCCAGAACGTCGTTCTACATCAGGCCGACCAGAATGAACCCGCAGCATCTATCTGTCTGTCTGTCTGTCTGTCTGCCGCCCAGCTCAAGTTCTGGTCAAGGTGAGCTCCTATCACGAACGCACGCAGAAATAGCTTGCTCTTTCTTTCTCCACAAATTTTTGGGGGGCCTCACCTTCAACGACAAAGAAAGAAAGAAAGAAGAAAGTTGACCATCCGTACGATCAGCTTCCCGCGCTTCGCGTTCGCTTCAACATTCTGATTGGCGCGCCCAGACTTTTTCGCATCGCACGACCCTATCATTCCCCGCGCAAGGTCCTCCTCACACTCGCGTCGACGACGCGAATGCAAAAAAAAAAAGAAAAAAAGGAAAAAAGGAAAAAAGAAAAGCTAGCAGATCTCCTCCCCCCCCCCCCCCCCCCCCCCCGCGGGATCCACCTTCGTCGATCGTGAGATTTGACTGCGCTCTACAGGATTACTTGTTGTCCCGCAATCCCGAATCAAGTGCCCAGCGATGGGTTCCCTGCTCGACAAGCCCGACGTGGAAAGGCGAAGCATAGCGCGCGTACGACGGCGTTGCGTGCCGAGCCGAGCCGAGCCGGCATGCAATCCCGTCACGCGCGGACAGATGGTGATGGTAAGGGCGTCCGACAACTCAGCATTCCACGCTCCTTACTCCGCCCCTCCACCTCCCAGCTTCGACGGTACTTCAAACTCGCCAGTGGTGCGAAGAAGGGCCAGTTCGCACACAGCGATTATGCTTCTCGGTCCCCTTTAGAAAGAGTTGTGACAGCCTTTCAGGTGCGTCATAGAGCCAACGAAATTCTCTGATCTCTCCGTCGCTCGACCGTACGAATGAAGCGCGCATCGAGGTGGCCCAACCCTTCGCATCAAAGTGACGTGTACCATTGCCTAATCAAAACGTCGAAGGCTCGCGCTCACCAATCTCACCGACGGCTGAACAGTCCCATCTGCGCGCACGCACACTCAATCCCAATCGCTCTCCGACTCATCCTCCTCTTCGCTCTTGCCTTGCGCGCCTTCCTCTTCCGTTCCGCTCTCCCCCTCCTCTTCCTCCTCCTCATCCTCGTCGTACGACTTGGACTTGACCTTTTCTCCTCTCATGATGGCCATTTGACCTGCAAGGCTGTTGACGACGCACATCGGAACAAGGCATCAGCTGCGACTCAGAGCATCGCCTCACACGCTCGCACTCACGTATCCTCGTCCGGGTCCGAAATCTCATCTTCGCGGATATCGTCTTCGAGCACGCTAGGGTCCTCCACTTGAAGCTTGACCGGCAACTTGGCATCGCTGCCCAAGAAACAGTCGCTCTTGAGCACCGCGTCAAATGTGTACAGTCCGGGCTGAGGCGGAGCTTGAAATTGCACCGAGTACGTCCTGATCTTGTCCGGGCCCACATCCGTCACCTTCGTCGGCTGAACAATGACGCGCGATTGCTTATTGTCGGTGATCAGCACCCACCAGTGCGGTTTGCGCTCTTCCAAAAAGTGCGGCGCGCGAGCCACGCCGACTGCCTGCTTGCCTTCTCTGGAGCCCGACTTGCCTTCGGTGCGTCCAATCAGGTGATCCAAAGAGACCTCATCGTCGTCCTCGTTGGAGGGTCGAACGCTCGAGTCTTCGTCTCGGTGAGCTTGCTCGACGCTCGAGCGCGCTCCCTCCCTCAACGTCGTCGGATCTTTCTTGAATGGCACCGTTCGCAGCTTGACGACGTACTGGACGATGGCACCCGCCGTGACCAGCTTTTCGCCATTCACCTTGAAGAAAGCATCCACCAGTTCTACGCGGGGCCATTCCCCAGCGACTTTGAGCGTCTCGTCGTACTGAGCCTCGGAAATGCCCTCCTTACCAACGCCGAGCAGCTTTCGACGCTGCGCATCTTCCATCTTCCAGAAGCCTTGCAGACCCTGCTCTCCAAGCTTGCTCTTCTTGACGAGCGTGCGCGCAGCTGACCACGACACGTTGGGCAGCTGCATCAGCTCTGCAGCGGCTCTGAAGTCCGTAGCGGGCGGTACGGCCTGCACGAAGCACTGATGCATGTCCATGAGCAGCAGCGTCAAGTCGGACCAACTGTGTGCGAGCGTGATGGCGAGCATGCCATTGAGGAGCCTTTCGGCTTGTGCACCTACAACGTACCGCTGCTTGTCCAGCGTGCTGTTGTTGATGGGCACTCTCAGGAGGTAGGCGTACAGCAAGACCAAAGTTTTGCGTATGGACTGCGTACGAAATTCTTCGATGAGGCCCCAACGAGATCCGAAAGCTTCCAGCTCTGATCTGACCTGCTTTTCGACGCGCGCCAACTCCGCCTCGTTGACGTCCTTGCCGCGCTTTTCGAGTTTGGGATCGACAAATTCTTCCGATATGGCAATGAGGGCGAGCACGCGCGCAGGTGGCGTATCTTCGCGCAGATGCTGAAAGAAGTTTTGAGCCGTGTGATTGATGATGCCATCCTTGGTGCGTGCTCGCGAGCCGTACCACCACCGCGCGACAAGGTATGGCAGCAGCAAGCCAAAGACGAGTCCGTAGGCGCCCAGCACCCAGACATTGTTTTGCGCCTCAACGACCCACGTGGGCAGTGCGATGCCCATGCTCATCTCCTGTCTTCCATCCGGGTGTCCATACAATTCGAAATTCTTGCGTATCGTCTCGTCCGTCAGAGCCTTGTATGCCTTTGTGATGGAGATGAAGTGCTCATCCGCCTCTTCTTTTGTTTGATTGGGACCAAGAACCAGCTTGTCTGGATGGAACTTTATGCTGAGCTTCTTGTAGTGCTTTTTGATCTCCTTTTCAGTGGCACCCGTCGCGATGCCGAGAATGTTGAACGGATCGTACACGGCGTGCGAAGAGTTGGAGGAGGCATTGGCGATACGCTGGACGAGATATGCCACAGCGGCCCAGCCGATGGTGATGAATATGAATCTGCGGGCACGTAAGGAGGACAGCGCGATGATTGAGGAGGGGAAAGCGGCGCGCACCAGAGGGAACCTGAAACGCACCTCTTGCTAATCTTTGGATTGGTCAACGTCCTCCTTCTGAATCGACGAATCGCATCGATCTTTTGTCCCCTCGCATCCCACCAGCCCTGCTTTCCAGCCTTGGAAGTCCGGCTGGCGAGCAGCGAGTAGGTCAGAGGCACGAGCACCAGGAGCAGAAAAGTTAGCACAAAGGTCAAGAATTGACCGCCCTCCTCGTCGTACTTGTAATTGTTCGACGACATTGCGCAAGCGGCCGCTAACAAATTGTAGCGTTGACCAGCCTAAAGATGATGCAGTTGAGCGGGCGCAGCGCTGAGCAGTCGGACTTTCCGTGTGTTTGGAGGTCAAGAATGACGAATGTCGAGTCACAGTCACGAGTGTCGTGCAATGTATGATCCTTCGTCGTAGCAGTCGTGAGGTGTGATCCTTGGCGCATATAAGAGCAACGCTCACATGAGCGCCAGCAGATACACACAATCGTGAATCTTGAATCAAAATGCGAATCACGAGTGCGAGTATGTGACCTGTGCGCGACATAAAACGCCGGCGTGCATATGCACTTGAAGCGCTGGTTTGACTTTCGCTACGCACGTTAAAAATCCTGCACGTCGTTTGTATTCTCACAGCGACGTGACCTGAACACGTGGCTCAAGATACGCACGGGTAATGGGCGGGCGGGCGCGCACGCTCACTGACCTTCTAGCGCTCGCCTGGACTTGCGATCCGACCATCCCGTCACAGCGCGCGCATTGGTGATAGAGCGACGTTTCCATATCGCCAATCAATGTCAAAGGTCCTCTCGCGGAGTTACTTGCACACCCTACTCGGGCTCCATTGCGACGCATACATCCGATTTGCAGTCTTCTGTCGCACCTTCGCTAGGCGTCCAAGCTAGGGTCTCCGCCGGGCAATACACGTCGCGCACGAGTCCACACACTACGACGGGCTCCTCAAGATGAGCATGACCGAGTCTCAAATGACAGGCGAGCCGTACACGAGCCGATCGGCAGTAGAAGCCGGCGCTACGGGAGCAGCTATAGGCGGAGCTGGAGGGCTTCTCCTCTCTTCCGTCAAGAACAGTCTTCAAACGCACAAACATGGCGCACTAGGTGTCTTTACCAGGACCGGTCATCACATCGCAACTTTGGCAGCCGTGGCTGGCGCTTTTGCTTATACGGACGCTTTTGTGGCTAATCAGCAAGAGGAGGACACGTATCTGAATGCGGCTGCGGGTGGTTGCGTGGCTGGTATCATCCTCGGAGCTAGCAGTGAGTCGACTGTCTCCTCGCGATGTGTAGGAACGTCTTGCGCCAGCCCGGATCAAAGAAGCACCCAGCAGCATCACGCATTCAGGATTCTTTGTCTCACCCCATCAAACTGACCCTCACTTGCGTCTTTCCGATGCGCTAGGACGATCTCTACCCTTTGCTGCAGGATCCTGTCTAGGTCTTTCTGCCCTTCTCGGATCCTTCAACGCAGCGGGCTCAAGTCTTCGAGGTAGATGGGCGCACGCTTCTCCATTGGACGCGGCAGCTCTCGGAGGTTCTGAGCAACATGGCGATCACGGCGCTGCAGCTGGCTCTTTCGGATGGAGAGAAGAGCGCGAAAGGAGGCGCGCACACTTCTTCAAGGTCAGTTTGGCCAGGGGTGCACCATGAGTCGGCAGTGCTGGATCGCGAGGTGGCGCGGAGGGAGACGGCTTGCATGCAGCATCATGTAGATGGAGACTGTCCTCGTTGGGAAAGTGACATCCTTCACATGTTCCTGCTAGAGATCGCTGACGCCTACCTCTCACCGCTTCACAGCCAAAGGAAGAGGCGCAATAGATGCGCAAACACATCGACCCATTGACAGCGCAAGAGTTCCCAAACGCATACAATCACACACGCAATCGATGTCTTCGCTAGAGGCCAAGGGACGCAACAGCAGCAATTGCGCGCGTAACGATCGTTTGCGGACGAGTGTGCAAAGCAGGAGATCGAGAGTTCGCTGCTCATCGAGCACTTGGTGCTTCGGCTCAGGCAGCGACCTAGCTTGCACGCTCCGAGCTGAGCTTGCCACGGCTGATGTCTGGACGCGAAAAACTGCTCCATGAGACTACTCGCAGCAGCAATTGACCGCTTTGTGGAACATCTGCGACCGGGCGACTGCGCTCGCCCCAAGGCTGTGCACGCTCAGCGCGCGCAGGATAGACGCGTTGCGGTCTCCGTCTCTCTTTTGATGTGAGAGGAGGAAGACTCTGCACGTGCTCCTCGGTTCTGTGGAGTCGACTTTCAACCTCTGAGCGGCTCGAATTGGCGTGCGACAGGGCGAATGGTGGAAGCGCGCATGGACCAAATCGAGACGCTCTCGAGCATGATGCTAGTTGAACGGCAAGCACTCGTGACTCGTTTCAAGCAAAGCTCCTTTAAGTCTGAGTACCTCACTTGCCCCTTCACTAGCACGACCGAGCCGTCAAAGTCGCTGATTGGTCAGTCGAGTCGCGTACCATCATGATTTCCCAATCGACAATCTTGAATGTGAAGCTTTGCAGCGTCCGAGCCAACAGCCACAGTCTGAGTCACGAGTCCAAGTCTGAGGTGGGGGCTGCTCTCTTAATTGCTTGCTCCCCACGTGCATCAAGCCGCGCACGCCCGTGCGGACGGGTATAGGCTTGGATGAATCCGGGCCGGCTCAACGCGCGAGTCCGCGGCTCATCCTTCGGCGCCCCCGTCTTCTGGTGAAGCGGACGCGCGCACACGCACATTATGCACCAGCCGCGCTGCATGCAGCAACGAAAGAAGAAAAATGTCTGTGACCCGCGCTTGTTGTTGTGTCATCAAAAAGGTGGAGCTGCTGCTGCTACAATCAAAATCACGAATGGGAAGGCTATTCACTGGTTTGTTGCGCTTGCCCGCGTGACCTGGACGCTCACGCTTGCCCTTTTGAAGGAAGGCTAACCCAAAAGTCTTTCGTAAGCAGCACATTCATCATCTAACGAGTTCAAGACTCTGAGCGGCGCTCTCTCCTCGCACCTTTGTTTGCGATAGAGAGTACGGCTCCTTGCGGGGTGCTGACGCAGCAAAGAAGCGCAAACTGCCATCTTCCAGCGTCTCTCCTCGACATGGCGGCGGAAGCTGCACCTGTGGCCGCAACGGCGACTGCGACAGATCCTAGGACGGCACACTCCGCAGAGCAGGCAAGTCCGAATGGAGTCGTCAGCAATGGCGTCATCCAAGACGAGGACGCAGCGTCGGCGGCCGCGGCCGCGGCGATGGATGAAGGTGAGAGAGGGAATGTGGCACTCTTGCGGCTCTGCACCGCTCCACATCGACTGATTTGCTTGGCGCGCACACCCTCAGATGCACAACCCTTCGAAGTCGCCTTGCGCCTTCCGGCTAGACCTCTGTTGCCAGCGAATGCTGCGGCAGAAGGGTTGCCCGAAGTCCCTAGCCCCCTCAGGGTAGCAGTGACGGCGCAGGAAACGCTCAATGACCTTCGTCTTACCATCACCGACAGTCCCGAAGGCTACTGGCTGGGTGCCTTCTGCTTCAGAAGGCCCGCGAATGCTCACACCAAGGCGAACGGCAAAGTCTCAGGTGACGACGCTGAAGCAAAGCTGGGAGAAAGGCTGGGCGAATGGATAGAGATGAAGGAAATCTTTAGGGACGTGCCCAAGGAGGAACGTGAGCTGTACGTCGCTCATGGTGAGTAGCGTGCGCCTCACATCGATTGTATGCTATGCCCTGCCCTGTAGCTCAAAATTTTACGCCCTCCTTCGTGTCAGTCCCCTTCAACGAGGCGGATGCCAGAGCACACGTGCAGCGGCTCAGAGAGCTGCTCTCGAGCGGCCAGGCGGATCCCACATCGCTCGGCCTCGACGGCGGTATCAGCGTTCAAGACTCGATTAGGAACCCGCAACTCTGGCTGGACGAGGCAGCTTCGAGCGCGCCCGTTGCAAAGAGCAAGGGAAACAAGCAGCAACAAGCAGCCGCAGCGAGCGCAGCCGCAGCGGAGGCCCAAGCTAGAGAGGCTCTCACCAGGACGCCATTCTTGGATGGCGCGGTGGATGCGACTGTGGGAGCATTGACCAGCTTGATGCCGGTCCAAGCTCGTGCGGCGAGGGCATTTCCTACTTGCTTAAAGAGCCTGGCTGTCTCGCATTGGAGTCCGCCCCCTCACCATCTCCGCGTGCAGCAGGGTCATCTCCTCTATCTGCAGGTCGACACGCTAGAGGGCGAAAAGCTGTTCATCACCTCCACCACGCAAGGTTTCTACATTAACCGCAGCACATCATTCACCTTTGATCCCAGCCCTCGAGAGGAGCACTTTGCCTCTGCAAGCCTGTTTGACGTCCTCTGCGGCTTCTCCAAAAGCTTCCTCAGCAACTTTTCGAAGCTCTTCAAGGACCCCGTCTCGCAGAGAGACTACTTCGCCGTCGTGCCCTTGAGCAATTGCCTACCTGCCCACCCTTGGCTTGCCAGATCCAATCCGCACCATGCTGATCTGCTGCGAAGCCAAGCTGCGTACCTTGTCACGGGTGCCGTCTCTGCCGACACCCTCGATGGCACGCGCGACTGGAACGACGAGTTGCAGAGCACGAGGGAATTGCCGCGCACCACGCTCTCCGAACGCCTAGTCCGCGATCGCGTGCTGAACCGCGCGTATGCTGATTTCACCCTCGCTGCCGTCAGAGCTGTGCCTCGCGTGGCCCTCGGAGAGGTGCAAGCTATGAACCCGATGGACAAGCCGGATGCGAGAATGTACCTGCACAACAACCTCTTCATTTCCAAGGGCGCTGATGGTGTCGACATTTACACCCATCTTGGAGGTGACGAAGCTGCGCACGTGGCCGTCAGCAAGGACCTTGCGGGGATCCGAGCTCTCAACCAGCTGGATCTCGATGGACTTTGCCTGCTCGGCACTGTCGTCGTCGATTGGAAGGGCGAGAGATGGGTCGCTCAAAGCGTCGTACCTGGCTTGTTCCGAAGAAGAGATGACGACGAAGCTTTACTCGCAGAGAGTGAAGAGCCTGGCACCGCGCCCGTGCCTGCACAAAAAGCAACTTCAAACTCCTCCAAGCCCGCCTCAGCTTCACGAATTGACCCCAAAGAAGATACGCAGGTGGTGTACGGCGGCGTCGAGGGACCGGAAATCATCCGCACCGACCCCGTCTTTCACAAAGTTTTCGGCAAGATTGCCCGCACGCTTCATCTGGCTGAGCACAAGGTGCCGGACGCGGAGCAGCACTCAAAGAGCCTGTGGTTGAGCGTCGACTCAAAGGGCCTTCGAGGCGCCGATGGACGCAAATACGCGCTCGATCTGGCTCGCTTGAGCCCACTCGACGTCGAGTGGCTCGAGCGTGACTATGAAGGCGATGTCATTGCCGACGACGCTGCAGAGATCGATGGAGCGACTAAGACCTACCCTCATCGCATGACGCTCCTTAGGCAAGAGTTGCTGGAAGTCTTTTACCACAGCGAGTTCCGCAAGTGGGCCAAGGAACAGGTCGCTGCGCGTGGGGACAGCGAAGACAAGCCATCGATCGAAGAGACGGATGCGGCGCCTCAGATCGACGCTTCCGAATTTCAGCTGGCATTCAACCCAGACGCGTTCGTCGAGTTCAAGCTGCCCGAGACTGAGGGGGCGGCGAAAGTGGAAGCTCCATCCGCGGCAGACGGCTCCGTGCAGGCGCTCATTGCCGATGAGTCGGAAGCTAGCGTGGCTGCCGTGCGGGCGGCCAGTAGGTACCTTCGGGATACTGCCATACCACGTCTCGTCACGGACGTGGCCAGCGGTCTCTACGCTGCGCAAGACGGCACCACGCTCACGAGGCAGATGCACAGCAGAGGTATCAATGTTCGGTATCTCGGTCACGTTGCACACCTTTGTCACCCTACGCAGAGGAGCAGGCTGGATCAGTCATTGCTCTCCAAGGCTGGACCTGGCCACGAAGGCTTTTTGAAGGCGTTTGCGTCGATCGTGACGCAGGAGATGGTCATTCGAGGTGCTAAACGCGTGCTCCGGGCCCTCCTGAAGCCCCTTCCAGCAGACCAGGCACCCTCGGCCATTTCTCACTTTCTGAACTGCTTGCTGGGTGCTGCTCTCGAATCAAATCCTCGGGCAGTCTGGCAAAAATCGCCTTTTCATGTTGCGGCGGATGCTCCGCCCGCTTGGATCGAAATCACTCCTCACTCTGTGGTCGCGGATGTCCGCGCCGAAGTTCGTCGACGGTACAGGTACGGGCTAGCAGCTGACTTTTTCGAAGCGAACTTCAGAAAAGCTCCGGCGCTGCGCGAATTATCTCAGCGTTGCGGTTTCCAGCTCAAGCTGCAAGAGTATAGCTTTGAGCGTGCAGACAAGCCGCTCGTGAATGGTCATGCGAATGGCGCGTCGGAAGATTCTCAGACCGAGGCGGTGACGTCTTCTGCTGCGACAGGACCGGCTCCATCAGGCAAAAAGAAGAAAAAGGGAACATCGCCTGAGACTAAAATCGTGCCTGGCTTCACACCGGCTCGACGAGGTCCCAAACTCACGACTTTTGAGCCAGAAGACATTTTGCACCTCTTGCCCGTCGTCAAGGACTCGACCCCAAAAAGCGTCCTCGCGGAGGAAGCCTTTGAAGCTGGTCGCGTGTCCATCAGTAGAGGCGATATCAACCTCGGAGTAGACCTGCTCATCGAGGGAATCGGATTTCACGAGCAAGTCTACGGCTTGGTGCATCCCGAGGTTGCCCGCTGCTACTCGCTTTTCGCAACGATTGTGCACCACTTTGCCAGCTTGCAGGCAGTCGAGCATGACCAGCGCGTCAGGCAAGCCGTCGCAGAGGGCAAAGAGCCGCCTGCTGCGCCAGAGACCAACGAGCATCTGACGTTGGAGAATGCGGTGAGGTATCAGCGACAGGCAGTCACGCTCAGCGAACGCACCTTGGGGTTGGATCACCCCGAGACGCTGACGCACTGGCAGAATCTGTCGGTGTTGGAGCGAGCAGAGGGAAATACGGAAGCTTCGCTGAGGTGCCAGCAGCGCGTCTTGGAGCTGTACAATTTGGTCTATGGTCCGAATCACCCGGACACGGTCAACGTCCTCAACAACATTGCCATGACGCTTCAGGCTGCCAGGCTGTTCGAACCCTCCCTCAAAATCTACACGGCAGCGCACGAGCTGGCGCTGAAGCTGCACGGAAGCGAGTCCATACACACTGCCAATTTGGCTCACGAGCTTAGCCAAGCCTACACGCTCTGCGGAGACCTGAAGAATGCTCTCAATGTGGAGAAGGAAGCGTGTCGAGTGTTCGAAGCTAGGTTGGGCAAGGAAGATAGTCAGACGAAGGAGTCGGAGCAATTCTTGCAGAGCTTGACCACATCTGCTGTGCGTTTTGCCAAGATGGAAAAGGAGCGAGAGGCGGCCGCCCTATCGTCTGGACGAGGAGCGGTCAGAAGAGGCAATGCTTTGGGTGGATCTCTGCTTGCGGGTGGAGCTCCGCGCCAAGCGACGGTTGCGGGCGGATCGGCCCAGAGACTGTCAACAAACAGCGTGGTGAATGCAGCGGCGGGTGCACCGCCCAGCACGGCACCGTCCGGCGCTGTGCCTTCTACGAGCAGCATCGACGATATTGTCGCTTTCATTCAAGGAGGATCAAGTAGCGCCAAGGGCAAGGGAAAGTCCACAGGGGGCGCGATGAAGAGGAACCGGAAATAGGCGCGAGGAGGCAGACGCACACAAAAAGGAATTCGGTAGCGAGTGTCGCGACCAAGAAGAAGACGCTACTTTTGTTTTCACCACTCTTACATAACCAAAAAAGCTCCCCAAAGGAGCGCGCACGTTGGGGCCTTCCTCTAGTCATTGCAGACCCTTCACGTTATAATGCACTCTCTCAGCACACACTTCTCCCCACTCATATCGGCGATTGCAATGAGACATTTTCCCCTACGTGAGGCTTGGCGTTTCCAGCGAGACCAGCTGCTCGAACGTGGAGGCTCCTCTCGACGTCTTGCTGTACATTGACGAAGGTGCTGGCTGCATCAGCTCACTTGTTCCTGTTCCTCACATATAAGATATTCCCGAAATCCCGAGCTGACACCATCGCTTCTAGCCGCGTCGCTTGCGAGTCCCGTCGGATCCGAAGTCGATCGAGAGTGGTGAGTGGAGCTGCATTAAACCCGATGCGTCAGCGCGACGTGCAGATGTGGCCCCTGCCCGGCTAGCGATGCAGCCGTGCTGCCGGAGCATTAGTCCGTCTATCGGTCGCTCTTAAGGACGCAACTTTCCACACTCGATGCTCTTCATCCCCTCTTTGACCTGAGCTTTCACCACTCGCCAGACACGCGCACATACGCCCGCAAAGCTGGCCTCGTAAGCCCATCATGTCTTTTGACTTTCTCTCGATGATCCAGCTGATTGCGGACAGCGACCCAGCCGTCAGGCCAGCGCGCTTCCACACCAACTATAATCCCGTCAAGATGGGCAACATGGCAGATATCGCGTACGGCGGCTGCGCTATAGCTGTAGCTGTGAATGCGGCCATTGCGACCGTCGAAGCTGAAAGTCAAAGGCGAGATAGCAGCGCTTCTGCAAAAGGCAAGTCGACCGCAGCAAAGAGCAAAGCGGTGTACGCTCTTTCTGGCAATTACTTGGGGCCGGCGCGAGCGGACAGGCCGTTCATTGCGGATGTCGAATCTCTGCGGGATACCAAGACCTTTACCACCATTCTGGTGCGGTTGAAGCAGCGCCTCGACTCTGGAGAAGAGAGGAGCTGCTTGGTGACCATCGTAGACTTTGTGGCTCGGTCGGACCTGCCTGAGGCTCAGCGCAACATCCTCACCTACAATGCCGCACCTCCAAAAGTCGCGCATCACTCCGACTTGCCCCTGGCATCCGAGTGGCAGGAGGAGCGCGTTCGCAACAACCTCGTACCTCGAAAGACGCTGGACATGTCCAAAGTCTTTTTTGGCAGATTTATGGACATCGTGAACAGCAAGTTTCCAGACGATAGCATCTTGGGTCCGAATTTGTACGGTCTCTTGCGCGACTTTGAGACGAAGCAGGAGCATCTGTCCATCCCAGAGAAGAACAGCACGGATTGGTTTCAGTCCACAGTAAAGCTCAATGAAAGAAAGGATGGAGATTATACCGCCACGAATGCCCTTTTGCCAATCTCGACGTACGCTGCAAAGTGAGTCTTCGCTCCGGCGCGGGGGGGGGGGGGAATGGGGGGCGCGGAGGTGTGATGCGCTGATTCTCGAGCCTGTCCCTGCACGTGGCCACAGCATCAGCCTCGCGTCGTTCTTCTTGGATGGCGCCTTGGCATTCTTGGGTCTCAGCTTCTCTCACCGCTGGCTCGCAGATGCAGGGGCATGCTCTTCGCTCGATTTCAGCCTCCGCTTTCACGTCGACGATTTTGATCTGGCGCAGTGGCACTTGCGAGAGGTCAAGACGCACTTGAGCACGCATGAGAGAACGTACAATGAGGGCAGAATGTGGGATGAGCAAGGCAGACTCGTCGCAACCATGACCCAAGTCGGAGTGCTCAGGAAATTGCCTGAAAGGTCGCAGAAGCAGGAGAAACTCTAACTCCTCGGGATCACGGAAACGCACATCGCGGAACAGCACGACGATCGTGCTGATGATCCTGAGCACTGGGACGCAAAGCGCCCATCATAGAAACACCTCGCTGGCACGAGTGCCAGACTGGTGTGGTGGAGCCGCCTGGGAAGGGGGAAAAAGACGGAACGTTCGTCAGATTCCCCAGACGAAAACTGTAATTCGCTGCCCTGACTCGTGGTCTGGCCATGTTGACTCTCCCAAGACTCTCGAGCGTGGACCCAGTGCGCGTGTAGGTGCTCTTGCGAATCAAGTGGCTGACACGACGTCGGCGTCCCACGAGTGCTGTAAGCAAGCGCGCAGCACCGTGCCGTCCATCCCCTCCGCCACATTTGTAATTTTTCTCGGGAAAAAATAATCGCACCAATCGTCTTTGTGGAACGCTATTCTGAATATGAGATATCAGCCGCGACTCCGAATGATCGGAATCGGTAAAATGTGCGAGCTCGCACGCAAGCTGTCTTGCGAGCACCCTCATTACGGGCCGATTAGCCTCAAGCGAGGGTGACATTCTGCGAAGCGTGTCAGCGAATGTCGCTCATCTTTTCGGCAAGACTTTCGTGTGAAGGCATCCCAACGGCGGTGCAAACGTCGAGTCAGATAGGTCCGCGCCATCGGGCACCTGACGCAGACTTTGGCTGAGTCAGAGACTTGCAACAGACGTGCGGATGCTTACTTGACGCAGCCAACATCCATCAATCAATCACCACATGTCAAGAATCAGTGCGAACCTCCGTCACGAATACGGTAGGGACGGCGGTCCGAGTGTCGAGGGAGGGCTTCATCGTGAAAGCCGTGTCCGAACTTTGTATCTGAATGAGACACGAATGAGTGATGATTATGTTGCCGGATCCTGCGGCTTTTGCAGCATATCCGAATGTACTTCGTGCCAATCGCCTCCGAAGGTCCCGAGGCTCGCATGAAAATACAACCTCTGACCAGGCACTCTGTAACGTGCAATCGATCGGGAGTGGACGTTTAGCCTTTGATCGCTGCGGATGAGCCGCACTTGACCGCCTGAAATAGCTGACGATGCCGCCGCCCGGCGGTGCGACATTTGGTATCGCCAGAAAGGCCGCTTTCATGAGCTCCATCCAAACACCCGCGCGAATTCAACCTCGGATGCGCTGTCTCCTCTTTCTGCTTCTGCGAAGGATTGACGAGTTCGGGTGAATTAGACGTCGCGTCTGATTGACGATTGACATGTACAGTCATGCGACTGTGCACAGCGGCTTGGAGTTCTTGCCGCATTCGCAGGGTCGATGCAGCTAGAAGCGCAGCAGCACAGTTGAGACCTCGATGAGCATGCATGAGCGTTGCCTTACAAACAAACGAACCAACCCAACTTCACGTTTCATCGATCAACTAGCGCACTCGCTGCTTTCTCGGCTGAATATGGCGCTCACTGGAGCTTCTCGGCCAGAGCGCAGAGCTCGTGTCGATAGCCATATGCTGTCCATATGCTTTCCGTGCTTTACTTTTCTCTTTCAACCTCCTCTGGGCGATGTTCGATGATGGATTTTGTACTAGCAAGCCTCTGCAAAGAAATGAATTTTCAGCTCCGCTACATTCACAGATTGCATGCGCGACAGAAGCAGGTCGCTTCGGCTCGCCTGAACTCCGTCGAATTGAGCCGGGGAGCAGCAGGGTTGTGCAGCGGGAAACCAGCCGTCGCTTGGCGCTTTCACGTCAAAAGTGGCCAGGTGCCGTTGGATCGCTCACGACTCGTGACTGTCGGCATCCGCCAGTGGTGTAAACGTCAATTCTGAGTTCCAAGCTGCTTGAAAAATAGCGCTAGTGATGGGCCAGTGAAGTTTCGGTAAAGCGCGCGCAGAGATTGGACGGTCCGCGTTCCTGCACCTCCACACCATGGGGAGATTGCAGAACATTTCTCCAGAACATGCTTCAAGGGGACGAATGAGCCTTGGCTGCGACGGACCTGTCCCGGGGATCCTCGACTCGAAATCGAGCAGGCGAAGGCGGTCGGTCACGCGTTGGAAGAGGGGTATACAGCACCATACGTGCGCTTTCATATTACCTCGAGCGACGTCTCTTGTGAGACACAGGTGCGCCCTGGCACCCATGGCACAACACTCACGACTCTCACTATCAAGGCGTGCACACGCTTCACCGTTCTCTGCGGGGGGAGCCGAGCAAGGGACGGAAGCATCGGGGTGGGCTCGTGCGCACGAGACAGCGTGCGAGGACTCATGCGAGATCTTGACGGCTTGCATCAAATTTGCCCTGAAGTCTGCATGCTCGTCATCATTCATGCGGGAATTTGGCAGCCTTGGGAGAATGATGCCGTGAGCCACTGCCTGATCTCGGCACTCAGCCAAGTCCTTGCAATGCAACACCATATCATCACTAGTGCCAAACGGTCCCTGGCCACGTCGGCGCCACGCTCAAGCATTCCGATTACCGATCGAATTCTGCTCCAGAAAGGCCGTCACCTCCCCGCTCCATCACCAAACTTGGTCCCGAGGCGAAATGAAGCAATGCCATGCACGACTGCACTCGGCTGATACGACGATTCTTTCCGATGCTGACGGGCCCTACCGCAAGGATGCCGGCCATGGGGACTGATAATCACCTCGGGCCTACCGCATCGCGGGCCGTCTTTCGTTCGCAGAAGAGTCGAGTGCTGAACACAGGAAGCCGCTAAGCATTCACACTCGTGACTCGTGAAGGCCCATCCGCGCTTGCCGGAGTACGCTGAGAGCTCGGTAAAGTGTGTGGACCCCCGGAAAAGCGAGGATGTTCCCAATTGCTGGCAGCAATTCAGTGTTAATTTGTGCTCCCCTCAGGTGTAGGTCACCATAGGAGCGGTCGACACAGGAGTTTTAGGTGTGGACGCGCACCTTCGGACACGGTCCCCTAATTACGCAGCACATATAAGATCGCAGCGTCTTTCGCTCCCTCGATCCGTCTCTCACCTCGCAGATTCACTTACACACACACACACACACGCACACGCGCGCATACACACACACCTGTGTCTCACACATTCCTTGACGCGTCGACTCAAGCACAGCACCATGACGTCCAAAGTCTCCTCGGGCTCTATGGACTACTCCCATCGACCGCACAAGCCGCACCCGAGGGACGAAGATCTGTACGAATATGTGCTTCCCGATCTCACCATAAAGCAGGTTCTTGATGCCATCCCGGCTCACTGCAAGACCGTCTCCACGTACGAAGGCATCAAGATGTGGATTCGAGACTGGCTGATGGCATACGCTGCCTACAGAGCGTTCGTCTTTCTCGACGCAGCCTTGGCCAGCACTTCGGCCTCCTCCCTCCCTACCAAAGTACTAGCGGGCACACTCCTTCTCTCCGTCAGGATCTTCTATGCTCTTCTACAAGGCACCATTGGCTCGGGCATTTGGTTCGTCGCTCATGAAGCCGGTCACCGTACCTTGACCACCTCAAAGACGATAAACGAGATCTGTGGCTTCATCAATCACAGCTCTATGCTCATACCTTACTGGGCATGGAGAATCGTGCACGCTAATCACCACGCCAACACTGGGCACATTCACAAGGACGAAAACTATATTCGTGAGTCCTTTCGATGCGCGCCCTTCCACACCGGCGCTAAAGCTCACCCTTCTCGCGTACATGTTCCAGCCCGTACTCGCCAAGAAAAGGGACTCAAGCCTTTGCGACCTGCACCCGTCGACGAGTTCTCACCTCCACTGACTCCTACAAGCGCTGATCGAGCCTCGCTTTCGGAAGATGAGCATGACGGCAGCTCCTCGCATTCCTCCTCCGTCACTGCCGCGGAGGACATTCAAATTCATCACGCCATAAAGGAGCCGAGTCTCGGCGAATGGCTTGCGGAATACGCCGAGGATGCTCCCATCTTCAATTTTGTGTGGGTTGTTCAGCTTTGGTGCGACTAGCGCGGAGACCTGCAGCTGACTTTGTAGTGTGCCGACCACAGAAACATCTTTATAATGGAAGTCTTCGGCATGCCCCTCAGCCTGATTATCAACTTCGGTGGTCAGAGAAAGTACCCGTATGGCACCAGCTACTTTTTGCCTTCGTCTCAGCTGTTTAAAGAGAAGCACAGGCACCTGATCATCCTTAGCAACCTCGGCGTTGCTGGCATGCTCGCAATTTTGGCGAATTGGATTCGGATCAGCGGCTGGAGCCACGTCTGGTGGGCTTATTTCATGCCTTTCCTCGTGGTGCGTAGATTTTCTCTTCGACTTCGCATAGCACCAATGACTGACAATCGCTCTCGGTGTCGTGCCTGCAGACGAACTTCATCGTCGTCATGCTCACCTACCTGCAGCACATAGATCCAGAAGTGCCTCACTTGAGCGAAGAGGTCTGGACATTCTCTCGCGGCGCTCTCTGCACGGTCGACCAGTCCTTCTGCGGTCCGATTGGTGATTGGTTCACGCACAACCTGTCCCGTTATCACGTCGTGCACCACCTCTGCAGCACAAAGATCCCTGCACACCATCTGGCAGAGGCGACGGAAGCGGTCATTCCTCTGCTTGGCAGACACTACAGGTTCAGACCAGAGAAGAACCAGCTCAAGACGCTCTGGCAGAATGTGGCAGCCTGCAAGACGATTGCCAACAAAACGGATCCCGTCATCTTCAACCTCGATGCAAACGGTCACGCCCGGGCCTTCCACGCCAAGTCGAAAGCAGACTAGGTCTCGCAGTGACAGTTGGCTCGCTCGTCTTCTCGCTGTGCTATACATTCCGACGCGCTTCCACTCTCCTTGACCTTGTCAGAAGACTGCAGTCTCTGAACCTTGCCCCGTCCTGGCCGTATAGAAGACTTGAGCGGCTCATCCTCATTCCCAGCCCGCAAAGTCCACCACTTTCTCTTTCAACCACTTTCCCTTTGAGCAACCGTCCTGGCATGGACATACATCCATACACGACCCATGACCTTTGCTCTCGAACACGCTTCCAGGCACAAACGTCTTTTGCGCTTTGCCCTACCGTGACCTACTCGTTCAGGTCCGCCCCTCAACTCCTTGTACCATACTGTATCCCTCCTCGCCCGCTTTCGCCTTTGCCGCGCTCTGTCTCTTGACGCTCGAGCTGCCTACTCTTTAACTTCTCCGTCGAAATGGACACTGTCGTTTCTCCTTCCCTTAATGGTTGTGTCTTGATCCTTTGGGGAGCGATGATTGCGAATCACGTGCCATGATAGCTTCCAAACCGACATTTTACCGCTACGCGCCGCGTCTACGCTCGCTTGGTGGTGCGGTCCAATCACGGGTCTATCTGGCTGGCCTCCTTGCGTGGTCTGTGTGGCTTGCTCTTGCATGTGCTTCGCGTACGCATGAGCATGGACGCAACTCGCGCCTGACCACTTAGGTACGTAGGGTGCCCGTCATCGACGACGTGAATGCGTGCTTTCGAGCGCTTCTTCTTTTTCACTCTCTGGCGCCTCGTTTTCTGAGTTTGAAAGCCAAGTTGGCCAAGCGCTATCGATGTGCGCTATCAGACTGCACCGCGAGGAGGCTCTTGATGCTTCATATCGTGATCATGTCCGGCAAGGCCATTCATGATTATACTCAAAGCTGAAGAGTGCAGCTGGGATGCGCTCGATGACGATTAGCTGCAGTTGCTGTTCCATGTCTGAGACTTGGGGGACGAGGAAAGTGTCCTCCGCTCCCTTCACCAAAGCAATTCTTGGCTAGATGCACGGAGCTCTTCATATCGCTGATGTTGTTCCGCATGCAGACGGCAATCGTGAATGGAGGTTGGTCCCTCAAGTCTGGCTCCGGCTCGTCAGCAGATGGCAAAGGCCAGTCACAATTACGAATGCTGAGCACGAGGAAAGTCCAGCGAGTCAGGTTTCGCTTGACACGTCAGTACGAGGTCCTCATCAGAGATCCCTCTAGTCTATGACCAGCATCTTCTCTCAGCACCACACCCTCCCTCACCCGCACCGCTGACAATGTCTTCAGCAGCGAACAAGCACCACTCCGAGGCGGCCCACGCGCCAGTGATGCTTCAGGGGTTCGAGTGGAACACGCCAGCTGGAGGTAATCACTGGCAATGGTTGAGAGACAATGCTGCGCGATTTGCCGCCATGGGCATCACTGCGATCTGGATCCCACCTGCCACCAAGGGAGGTAATCAGGATGGCACAGGGTACGACATTTACGATATGTGGGACCTGGGAGAGTTCGAAAAGAAGCCGGGAGAAGGAGACGGGACGAGAACGAAGTATGGTACCAGACAACAGCTCGAGGAGTGCATTGGCGCGCTCAAGCAGCACCACATTGTCGTGTACATGGACCTGGTCTGGAATCACAAAGATGGAGCCGATGGGACAGAGAATTTCAAAGCTATCAAGGTGGACTCCGAGAATCGTTCCAAGGATATCTCTGAGCCGATAGAGATCGAGGGATGGACCAGCTTTACATTTCCCGGTCGTCAAGCGAAGCACAGCGGATTTCAATGGAGCTTCAACCACTTTACGGGGGTAGACTATGATAACAAGTCTGGAGACAAGAGCATCTACAGGATCGTGGGCGAAGGAAAAGATTGGGCGGATGATGTAGATGAGGAAAAGGGTGGATTCGACTTTTTGCTAGGAGCGGATATCGATCATGCTCATCCAGATGTGCGGGAGGAATTCACGAGGTATGCCAAGTGGCTCGTCAGAACATTTCCAATTGCCGGAATGCGCTTCGACGCCGTAAAGGTGAGAAGGAGGAGGAGGAGGAGGAGGAGGAGGAGGAGGAGGAGGAGGGACGCGATTGCGCGTGCGCCGCAGACCCTGCTCACTCCTCTGCATCCGACATAATAGCACTTCTCCCGCACCTTTTTGGCATCCATGGTCAAAATCATGCGCGAAGAAGCTCGGCATGTAAGGAAGGAAGCTGGCAAGGAGCCCTTTGAGGAGACAGATGGGCCATGTCTCTTTGCAGTTGGCGAGCTCTGGAAAGACTCTATCGAGACGATTGTGCATTACGTGACAAATTTTGAAGGAGAGCAGATGAGTTTGTTTGATGCACCTCTTCATTACAATTTCAAGGAGGCTAGCGATGCAGCGGAGAATTTTGATTTGAGGAAAGTTCTGGATGGCACGATGATGCAAAAAAGACCCATCGATGCTGTCACCCTCGTCGAGAATCATGGTGCGTCTCAATGAGTTGCGAGACACCCCTGGACGCGCACGCTAACTACAGCTTCTTCCTCTCTATGACTAAGATACGCAACCCGGTCAATCGCTGGCGTCGCCGATTTCTGCTACCTTCAAGCCTTTGGCGTATGCTCTAATTCTTCTTCGCGCCGAAGGATATCCCTGCGTATTCCTCGGCGATCTGGATGGCTGCCACGCCGAAGGAGACTCTCAACCTTCTGTGCCCAAGATGAACGATCTGGACAAGTTTATCAAGGCGAGAAAGTACTTTGGCGCTGGTGAACAGAGGGAGTACTGGGATCATCCCAATTGTATCGGATGGGTCAGGACGGGGGCGGGCGAGAATGGTGGATGTGCTGTGGTCCTATGCAATGGAAGTGGAGATGGAGAGAAGAGGATGGAAATCGGCAAGGTGCGCTTTTGAGTCTCTGTTGCTGCCCTGCTGCAGCGCTGCGTTGACCGTCCATCCAACTTGGCGTGCTGCAGGACCACGCAGGAGAGAAGTGGATAGACGTGATTGGTTGGAGGAAGGGCGAAGTCACTATCGGAGACGACGGCTGGGCAAGTGAGTGCTTCTTCGATTTTGCGGTGCGCGACAGAGATTGGTGCTTTATCTCCTTGCCTCTCCTGTCCAGACTTCCACTGCCACCCACGAAGCGCTGCCATCTGGGCTCGCAAAGATGCAGACGCTATCAAGGAATTCGCGTGACACGCCATTGCAAGTGACCGGAGGTCGAGCATGACATGCAAGATTCGTGATTGTCGGCAACTTTCTCCATCCAATAGACTTGGCAGATTTCCCTAGATCAACACGCTCCATACTGATTTGGCGTGTGCCCTCTAGCTATCGTGATTCACACTGGTCTGCTGGGCAAGGCGACCTCGTGTGGATGCCTCCGACGCGAAAAGTTTGTTCAGATCATGAGTACGATGTGGAACACCTATAAACCTCCAATGCAATCACAATAAGCTTACATTCTGAATCAAGAAGCATTCCATCACGGCTGGCAATAAGAATCACGAATGTGACTAACAAAGGGTGAATGTGAATCAATGACGAATCTGTGAATTTGGAATCAAATCGCAAATCTTGATCAATGTTGCAAGGTGGTGCGAGGAGGACGTGGTCACGTGACGACATTCCGCTTCTTTGAAAGCGGGGTTCGCGAAGCCGAGCCGGAGCGCGTGCAAGCCGATCATCAACTTCAGCGATGATTTCAGTGGCGCTGTGCTCGTCTCGACACGCATCACTGGGACTCGTGACTCCTCGCCTCCGCTCGCGCAAACACTCAGGCGCACTGTGACTACGAGCATCGAACGTACCGGTAGATCAGGGGCGCTCTGACAGACATCGAACTGACTTGAAACGGCATCTTTCCTGCCCAGTCTGGGATTCGCAAGAGCTCGATTGTTGGTACCTTGATTGGCGAGGCGCGAGATGACTGACCCATCCGGCTCGTCGCCCGCTCGAGCGGAACCTCAATCGTCGATCGTAAACGACTACTCCGGCCGCTCTGAGGAGCAGCAGCAGCACGCGCAAGCTGTGCGCTTTCTCACTTCTCTTCGAGCCCATCAATCCACCGTTGTCGCTGGCAGCGCGAAATCGGAGGAGGAGGTGCGCTCTGAGCAGCGAGGATTTTTGAAAGCCAAAGGATTGAGCGAGGACCAAATCGATGCTGCCTTTAGAGAGGCAGAGAGACCCGCTTCTGACGCGATGGCAGGTCAAGCAGCTCCAGCTCCAGCTCAGACCAGCATTGCGGCGGAGACGAGGGAAGAGAATCAGGCGTGGAGAGCTGCAGCTACTGCTTTCAACGATCCTTTGCATGCCGCGCCTGGATCCACCTTGCTACCTCTCCCTTCCAAGGACTACCCCGCTTCACCGCTGGCACTGTATTACGAGCAGAGAAATGGTAGAGCGCAAGAGTCTGTCCCTACTACGCCAAGGGATAGATACAAGGTGTTGCTCAGGTTCTTTGCTACTCTGAGCTACGCATCCGTGCTTGGCGGTGGCATTGCAGCTGTCGCTGTTGCGCTCTACAGGGTGAGTGGAGTCCGAAGCGCGCTAGGGATGTCGCCGTCACTCATACCTTCATCCACAACTTCTTTAGGCATATATCCTACCTCGACTCACAGAGACGCTCTCAGCTCGCTCTGCCTTGTTGAAGCATCATCACACACAATACGGCTCCTTGTTGGAAAAGATACGCTTGGTTGGTAAGCAGGCGATCGGGGGTCCTGTGCGGGCCGAGTCGGCGGATGAGCCGGCCGACGTGGCGCCTGAAACCGCAGAGGAAGACAGAGATGGCATAGCCACAGCAGTCAAGAAGGTCACTTTCAGTGACGAGGTGGAGAGAGACGACGCTTTGAAGTCCGAGACGGCGGTGGGCCCGCTTGCGGATCCGTCAGTAGAAGAGAAAGAGACAAAGAGCGCAATGAAGAAATCTGCATCTTCGACATCTATAAGCTCTGATCTGCGCTCACCAAAGAAGAGCGTTGCGGGTCTGGATGCAGAGGGAGAGGCTGTAGTAGCAGTGGAAAAGCAAGAGCAGGAACCTCTCAAGCCGATTTATTTGTTCGACGATCTCTGCGCCAGCTTGACTCGACTTTCGACGGCGCTCAAAGGCGAATTGGGTGCGACGGATGCTGGCGCTCGGGGCTCCAAAGCTCCTTCTCGGTCTCGACTTCCTCCAAATCTAGGATCAAAGCAAGCGACCGTGTTTTCCGAATCGTCGGCCGATGAAGATTGGGAGTCTTCCTTGTCCGCATCCGAAGGGGAGGGCGCGCACGCAGAGGAAGAAGAGGACGAATTGGAATTCGATCCTTTTGCTCCTATACCGCGAAGGCATGCGAGCAGTAAAGTTCGACGTAGAGTAGGTCCTTCCAGTCGAATGGGTGGCGGCAAACATTCGCCTTCACCCTTGTCCAACTCTTCTTCCGATGTGCACACGATCAGGCAGGGACAAGGCCAAGCACATGCTTCAAGTTCCAACCCCAAAGAGCTCTATTCTAGACTGAGCAACCTCAACTCCTACATTAATGCGCAGAGCTTCTTGTCCAGCACAAACGATGTGGGAAGGTACAATGGACCGTTGGGCATCTCCAATCCGAGCAGCACCTCCACACCATCGGGTTACTTGAGCGCCTCTGCGAGCGAAAATGAGAGCCCTTTCAAAGCTAGAGGAACGGCCACTGCTGCTACTGTCACGAGTGGCAGCGGCGCGACGGACACTTCAGCTGCACCAACTGCCGTCAGACCGACGGATGTGAATCAGGTAAAGGCAGAGATCAGAAGTTTGAAAGGTCTCTTGTTGAGCAGGTGAGTACCGTGTCCCTGCCCCTGGCATCTATCGTCAAGGCCGCTTCATGCTCTGGAAAAGGAAAGGTTTCGAGGTGCGATGCTCCTCATTGACTTCTCACATTCTTTGCCCTTTCACCGCCCACTCCTCGCCCCCCCTTTTTTTCTTTCCCTCTTGCTAGACGAAATTTCCCCTCGTACTCTCGTCCGCCCGTCGTGCAGTCTTCTTGATCGGCATTAAATCGGCGCCGCATGCGCTCTTGCCCCGGCCGGGTGCAAGCCCCACGAACATCGCCTCGGCAATGCACGTTGTACCACACCTTTGCGCTCAATCGAATCTGCGAAGTGTCGAGTTCTTCTTTGATCATGGGTTCGAGCGGTCTGAAGGATTCGTGAGGGCGTATGGTACAATGCCGAGTCGGGAGATAGGTGTGCAAGGGGGGGTGGCAAAAGCCGCTCATCTGTCCCAGACCGCACCCGACGATGAAGCTTGCGTCTTCTAAATGGAAAAGTCAGTCCACTTGCATCGTGTCCGACAGCAGCAGCGTATGTGCTCCCAAATCCTCGACGCCATGCTGCGCTTTTGCAGGGTCCATGCCTGCCGGATTCCCTTGCCTCTCTGCGCTCGATAGGTCTTGTGGTCGTTCTTGCTGATGCTTCGACGATTCATGCAGCTCATCGCCCCTGTCCAATTCGAAGGAGAGCCCAAGGGTTTGAATCTCTCTCCGCATCTCTTGACAGCGTCTTGCATGAGCAAAGCAGGTAGATGGGTATGGGCAAAAGGAGACGAGCCGGAAGAGGTGTGAAAGGGTGAGCTGATGCGATGTGATGTGGTTGGACCAATGCGCCTCGACGAGACAGCCTCTGGTCCTCTTGAAAGACTGATGAGGATGTGCCGCGCCTACAAGACCGTTTCGACTCACAAAGCGAGCAAACGCGTTTGTTCTTTTCTTCGATCAATCTGATCCCGCATGAGCTTTTTGAGATCTTTACGAGCCTTTCGCGGCGAGGAGGGAAGGAAAGTGGAGACGTTTCCGCGCGGAAAGTGACGCGACGCAATGTTTCACAAAGAAGGTCGATGTCAAACTTAGCAATTTGCCGAGCCGCATCGCGTCGGAGCGAACAAGAAATGCCTCACCTGTCTAGGCCTGATCTCGTTGATGAGGTGTTGCATATTGATGCAGATGCTCCGCAAATGTTCCCACTGATCTAAAGCTGTATACCTCTCCACCGCTTGTAGCTGCTGCTGCTGCTGCTGCATCGCGTGTTGTGCTCCTTGCATCCCCACCCCTGCTCCTCCATCAACCCCACCATCAAGTCCCCCATTTCCGACGTTTTGCCAAACTGTGTAATCGGCCGGCGGGTGAGTGAGGGTATCGACGAGCTGTAGTTGCGTCATCAAAAAGCTTCGAAGGAGAGTCTGAAGCGCTGCTTGATAGTCTATTCGGACGGGGAAAGAAGAATCAGAAAAAGAGTGAGATTGGGAGAGCAAGCGTGCGTCAAATCACTGCGGTACTGGTCGGATGCCACCTCCGTTCCCAGCCCATTACACCACTGCGTGCGACACCGCCATTCCGCCGCAAAGCTTGAAAACAACAATGCGACTCGGGCACGCGATTGCGATTGCGATGCACCCTCCAGATCTTCGCCCCTGCCGGATTTTTTAATCACCCTCAAGACGCACCTACTGGTTCGACGTACAGCTTGGGCACGCCCGTGCCTTCCAAGGTGGGTTTAGCAGGCTGGATCTGCAACGTGCAAGCAGGTGCAAAGTTGCAAAGCGGTCAGCATGCACGTGCGACGGTGCAATTGTGCACTCTGCGAAATAGCAACAAAATACAGCGGACCAGTAGGGTTCGTGTGCATGAAAGTAGGGCTTGAGCGAAGCTGAGCCTCGATCGTCATCTGAACAATCGAGACAAAGTCGTTGCGCCGTACCTCCACCGGGTACTCTTGGACGC